TTGTCTTTTGTCTTAGAAAAAACCTTGAGAACAAAAGCTCAAAATAAACTTTCAACCTTCGACTCAAAAAATTATCACAAACTTCCAAAAACTGTCACATGCTTTTGAAAGTCTAAGAAAATCTTCAACTCGACTCTGATACCATTTGTACCTGTAAAACCCAAGAGAAACACATTGACACAGAAATAATGTGGTTTAACCTCAGGAAGAGGGCTACATCCACCCATAACTCTCAACACTTTACTCCAGGTCTTGTCATAAAGACTATCAATACATGGAGAACCCCGAGATATTTATTCCCAGTCCACGCGACTGTCTTAGGTATAAATAGCTACTCAAATATACAAGGTTACTCCTTAAGTGGAGTAAAACTCAACAAGTTTTGATATATCAAAATGTTTGACTTTCGAAATGTTTGGATAATTGTGATATTATTTAGATATAAAATAATGATAAATTTTTTAAATGATTATGAATTTGAGTAGCAAAAAAATGAGCTTGGAAAGAATCATATGAAAAGTAGCAATACTATCCACCTCATAAATCACAAGCTTTTGAGATATTTGTTGTTTTGAATCTCAAGAATTTTTTCAATTGACTTTGAAATTCACATTATATTATTCATATTTTTTTAGTGTTGGCATAAGTAACTTTGTTTTTTAAATATATTTTTAGATAAAGTAAACGAGTGTTATAATTTTACAAAATAAAACTTAACATATTGAAAATACTGTTATTGTTCATAATATTTTTTTTATATTATTATTTGGAAAAAAGTATTAATTTTATATCGGAATTAATTATTACTTGCAATAAAGTGCAATGACCATATCCAATGATTTTTTCTATGATATAATTTTTATTAAATTGATAAATATTTTCGTAAAATTCTTAAGAATTAGATTAAATGCATGCTCAACTAAATTTTAGTAAAGTTAAATTCATATGTTATTATGCACAAATTTATCTTGATCATTGTACTAAATTCTTTACTTATATTATTTTTTAGTCTTGAAAACTTAAATTGATATTCTTAATTACATACAAAGAATACCTAAAAATTGATCTAAAAATTCTTATTAATTTTTTAAAAAATTTAAAATTATGAAGAAAAAATTTCCTTTATTATCTTAACATTGAAATTCATTTTTTTAATCTCAATATGGATTAAAAATATAATTTTATACAAATATGTTTCAGTTATATGTTTATTTTTTATTTTCAGTATATATCTAAAAATAAATTGAATAAAAAATTATTTGTGAATTTTGTGAATGCAACTAAAAATTTCATGGTGCAACTCAACTTTCAATTTTGATTTATTTATCTCTTAACTTAAATCATGCAACATCAATAAAAGCTAAATTCAAAATTGTTTGAGCTTCAAAATTGAGTGCTAGTGAAAAGAATTTATAATGAATAATAAGAATGAACTGTTAAAAGATTTTTAAAACTATTTCTACAAAACTGATAAAAGTAGATTTATCATTTTTTCAACTTACAGTATTATCACTTTGAATTTAAATTCATGAGATCTCCATATTGTCTACGAGAATCCTCGTAAGGTTTTTTCAAATGCTTTGGTGTGAAAGTATGTTTGACTCATATACAGTTAGTCCAGCCCAACTACTTCCAAATAGTGTTACCAAGTTATATTCTCATGGATAATACTGTCTTCTGGCACTATTCTAGTAATTGTTGTGAAGCATTTATATAGGATCAATATCAGGTTTGTCGTGGCATTTTGATTTGTTTCTGCTATCAAAATCTGATTGCCTACCTCAAACGGAAATTGTCGATCGCTGCCTAGAATTCCGCGCAAGCAATTCGATTGGCGTGAGAAGGTTTTCCAAGATTCCAATCCTTTTAGAAAATTGCTACTGACTACACAGCAGCGAAGACAACTGAGACGGATTTCTCCTGCCCAAAACATCACAAACCCCACTGTGTTAGTCCGTAATAACATCAGAACGAGGAATGATGCACTTCAACTCGAAGAATATTGACCGAACATTCTACTTCAGAACTAGTTTGCTGCAGTGAACTCGCCCATCGAATCTCATATGGTCCATTTGGGACGTCTGTATGGTTCACATCTCATGATCTAATGTTGACAAGTTCCAAGACAAGAGAAGTAAGTTGTTAGATATGGATTAGGCTGACCTAGAACTTATTGCTAGAATTTGAAGATGGTCGACAAAAGGGGATACCATTTGGCTCAAGGGAGGGTTGAAAATCTAAGACTAGCGATGACATAATTTGAAAGCTTTAGTTTCAGAAATAACCTAAATATAACTTGAGAATTGATTACAAAGTTACTGTGATTAGTATTAAACACTAGGCTAGATAACAACACTTCGAAGGCATTTGATAAAGATGTGCGTAGCTTTGAAAAAGACATTTCCAAATCACTTTCCAAACTCCACAGTTATGATTATCACCCTCATTGCCCATTCATGAATCAGGTAATTTGCTTCTTTGAAATTTATTTTGTATGCAATACTCTCTTGAATAAAAATATTTTTATCATTATAATTAAGTTTAAATCTATACTAAATCTTCCTAGAATTTAGTTGAAAAAAATGTAGTTTAACAATATTGTGTTATCATATGACTATTCTGACAATATAAAATGTTACCATGATAATTCTTGATAGCGTCCCTAGACAGTTTCAATCAACTAAAAATAAATAGAGACTAAAGGTGACTTTTTTATCATCAAATGACATTTCTTGGAAGCAGCCGATAAGCATGAGCAATCTATACTACGTTGAAGAAACGTTGCGAGTCCATAAGATATGCTCATACTTATCACTATATCGCTAGGAGATGAAAGCCGGTTTAAAAGCAAAAGCTTGCATATTAAACGGTGGTGCAGCTTGCGTATAATTTGGGAGTTTTGATCATTTGTTGGATGCCATCAGTTACCTTGTGATCTCATGAAATTCTATGTTGGTTGGGGGTCCATAAGGCAGATTTGTTGTTTGGTCAACGATTTGCTAAATGTCATGTTCACATCAAAAAACATTATCCTGCAAACGAATTTAATGAATTTGAGAAAAAAAGCATCTGAGAACAGTCAAATTATAATTCATGGTTTCGGGGTTTATGTAAGATCAATAAAGCGTTTATACGTGTTATCTATTGTTTAAACATTTAGAATGCGGACTTAAGCGAATGACTTCTGTACCAAACTCTCAAACATCTCTCCCGTTTTCCAACGTAATGTAATAAGGTGGTATACAAATATAAGCATGGAATCTCCTAGAGCAGCAAACAATTACTTCAAGTTGGTAACCGTGCTTCTAGTCACCTTGACATAGTAGACCACTTGACATCCGTAGTTTGCAAAATGAACTACTCCCCATTGTGATACTTTTGTATCAACTTCATCTTAATCCTTTAGCTTCATCCATATGCGGGCTTGACTGGGTCTTCATACATTTTGCTAATTAGTCTTCATCCATATTAGGCTTGACCAGGTCTTCCATGTATATATATATATATATATATATACTTATTTCTTCTTTTCAACCCTTCTTCGCCTATTATCGAGGTTGGGCGTGGGAGATCCGCATCACTTTATCGGTAAAGATATCATTGAAATGGGAAGACTTATCCGATATATCGTGTAAGAAACCCTTCCCAAAGTCATAGTCCATGCAAAATAAGTTCGCATCAGGTTTGAATGAGATCACGGTTGTGGGGGCGATGCCAGGCCGGAGTAATATAGCAAACATAAGAAGTATATATTTACAGGTTCAGGAATGTGGTTCTCTTTACACCACTGTAAAAAAATCATCAAGATAATGCACATACATCTAGGCGCAAGACAAGGTGCAGCTACTATGTCGACATGCTTGGAGTAATTGCTCAAACAAAATGAAAAATTAATATGCTGATCAAAGTCATTGGTCTTTCCTGTAAATACAACCATGTAACATGCATCCATCACAGTTACAGTCTTTCCCGTGACTCACGTAACATAGACACAGTGACCATTAACATGTGTTCACGGATAGCAGCCAAACTTACTTCAAGTTCGTTGGCGTGAATTTGTGAACCTTCTTCAACTGTGTCCTATGATTTTTTAATTGAATCGTATTTTCTGCTCATATATAGTTTATCATATTAGACGATGCTTAATCATGTTATTGAATTATATATTGTTTCATTTAAATGTATATTACATGATCTAGCTTGCTTTCATGCTAGATAATGTACAATATAAATTTAGACAATATATATGTTTTGATTATCCGTTTGGCCAAGATGGAAATAATATCCGAAGATTGATACATGTAGTGGAGAATACTTTTCCCCGAAATTCATGGTCTCTGGAGATACATACGGGTTTTGTTTAATTAAAGAGATCAGTTTCTTCAGATAACACCTACGTGGTGACGCTGGCAGTGTTCAACAGTCAAGAGTGCAATTTTGGAAATGGAAGTGAGTTGACGAACTATGGTCAAATCGCTCTGGCTACAGGTGAAGAACTGCTTAGAAAAACGCACGATGTGATGATGCATGGTCTCCACAGGAAAGTTCATCAGACGTCATTACGGGAATGGACACATCATTCACCAGACTTCTTTCTGACGTACTTCTACAGTGGAAATACCAATTTGATGCGAATCCGCAATCGGATAACGATACTAATAGCCATTATCACAATGATTTTTCCACGTGGGATCACTGACACGGTTTGCCAATCAGACCCGGAATTTCAACTAATTTCTCCAACCCAAGCATTAGAGGTTGGCAAGAGACTGGTTCTAAATACTATGAAAGCTCAGTATTCAGTATTCAAACTCTGAATCCGACGCATAAAATATGATCCCGAGAGATTTTAAAACACATTGTTTGGTAGCTTGACTAAAATCTCGTCTTGTACGACGTTCACCAGAATATACCCCTGATGATATGGGGACGAATCGTTTCGCCACCAACACAATAGCTGGAGAACTCCTTGTTTACGATGCTATAATCGACAATGTATTGTGGCTCAGTTTTAGTTGGTGCTCATCAAATGATGGACTTTGCTTCAGTTCTCCAGTTTCAGGACGATGGGTATTTGGCGATCTACATCGTTCGTGGCCACACAAGAGCCGTGGTGAGGCTCTAAGACAATGGTTTATCAAGGCTGGTAGGATTGAGTATGACCTCATTGCTGCTTATTCATGTGTGTTCTCACGATCCATTTGCTATTATAACTACGACGTCAACCACACCTTGTTTTGGATTCACGGTTGATATCTCTGATAGTTGATAGTCTGGAAGCAACTGCTAAGATCAGAGCAACATAACTCTCCTCCGTCGGAACGTTCGGTTCCTTCGATTACCCATGATAAGTGTGATTTTAGTACGTTAATTTTGTGTAAGATGCTCTGGGTGAAGGGTATTAATCCAACTTACACTATTTCCTGAAAGTATGGGACATGGAGGTTTTTAGCTGTTTATCATATGTTTTACTTTCTTTTAGATGAAGTGCATCAAGAAATCTTCAAAGGTCACTTCTGGTGCAATATCAAATGATTGATATTGCAAGACCTTGCAAATACGTAATTATTTCGAATCTTTTTACAATATTGCTCTTGTTTCTTGTTTCTTCATTAGATTTCCACTTTTTAGTATCCTTACTATTTGCTTGTTACGTACAGGAAAAATAGACTTTTCTTAGGTTTGAGTAAAAAAAAATCCTTCACAAAATTTCTTCTTTAAATTTTCTTTCATCTTGAAAACACAGTGATTTGCTTTCATGTTGTAAGGGTGTCGATTCTTACACCTGATCCAATCAGGTATAGAACCGTTGCAGGTGGGCTAAGCAGACATGTTTCTCAAATAAAATTATCATAAATATGTGTCTTCTTAATTCTACACCTCAATGCAAACAAAGAGTTTGGATGAGAATACTGTCATATTGATCAGATGCTTACCGTCAATCTCAACCTCAAAGCACACCCCAAGGTCTTTCATGCGACTCCCTCTCATTCTTGATTAGTGACTACAAATCCCCATCAAAAGTAAGAAACATGTCACTGAAAACAAAACAAAACCGATTTACAAGTCTTGAACTCCCACAAACATAGTTGTTCTGAATCTTCTAGGTAGATTTCATTTTCACTCAGCACAAAGTGAAAACAGTTAACGAAATCTATGTTGACGCAGTTATTCTTCATAATCCTGTGACTTTTCGATGCTGACTTGACTTGCGATTAAGTCAAGAGTCAAAAGACGAAATTAAAATCATACCATCTCATTAGCCAGTCGAAAGTAATAAAAAATTGCATCTTTGAAACTTGATGGCAGAAAGCCACCACACGAGCACGCACGATGTTTCAACCTCTGTACGTATCGAACTGCTTCTCAGGAAATGTTGTCGTTTTCGCGATAGGGACTTATCCGTGGTCGAATCGTCCTATACAAATTACCATGCGATGGCTAGCAAACGAAGAATTCATGATAATCTTCAACTGTGCAGCTTTTGTCATGACAACCTGCCGAACCCTGGCCAAGTCCATCGAGCTTCTTCCGGGTCTGCAGGTAAGCCACATCACTTGCAACCAGAGGATATTTGTGACAGCAGGTCTTTAAAGGATAAACCGGGCCGTTAGTAGCCTTGAATCAGTCTCCCGGTCGGACCTGTCGAAATATTACTATTAGATCAGACTCAGGCAAAATGTGTTGTGTACATTCGAATCAGTATATATATCTCTCAACACAGCAGCAAGCTCTGCAAGCGTTCTAAGGCATTGGCTCCCCTGTCCAGTTCCAATTGTTCAGAGGTGCAGAGAACTTCCGATACATTCCAATATGAAGAAATCCGCCTTTTTCGTTCTCTTTTTTGCATCGTACATGCTGCACGGAATTGCAGCGAGTGTAATCTTCCATAACACCGGGACGACACCGTCAGGCTGGGATCAAGTCCTAGTTGAACACAATGGAAATGTAGCCCAGGTGACGAATGTGGTGAAGGAGGGCAGTACAGCTATAAAAGCCACCCAAATCTACGATCCAAACTATCATAATCGCTACCACTCGGAAGTGATCAAGTATGATGTTTACGGTCGTGGAGACATGGGCTTCTACGGCTTCTGGTTCCGCCTCCAATCAGACTGGGAATTCACGTCTCAGCGCTACAACATCGCGCAATTCGAAGCTGACTTCTCCGACGTTGCGAGTTGTGATACATTCATCCCCACAACCATGGTCTGGGTGCGTGGCACGAAGCTGGAGGCCAGGACCAACTCCGGCCCTCTATGCCCAACTAGCGCTCGAACAACCACCAACTTCAATAACCTCGTCGATGTTACAGCAGGAGTGTGGCATAAGGTCGTCATCCAAGCGAACTGGCAATCAGATAACACGGGCTACTTCAAGCTCTGGTTTGACGGCACCAAGGTTCTCGAGCGGTTCAACTTCCCCACCACTCTGCAAAGTGATAAAAGATACCAGTTTCGTGTTGGACTGTATGCCAACAGTTGGCACGATGACAACCAAATGGTGGGCACTCAGGGCACTCGAAGTGTTTGGTTCGATGAGATTGGTGCAGGCACAACGTTTGCCGATGCAGATCCCGATCAGTGGTGAATTATGCATCCGCTGTCAAAAAATCCATCTGTTCGCGGCCGTAGAGTATTGCGTCTAGACTATCACTCACCTCATACTACGTACCTGCTTCAGAGAGTTTCTGAAGAATCCCCAAGGCATCTGAGTTAGACTTACTCCTCACAAGTTTTCTTTTCAATAAAGCTCGTGTGTCCAACATCCCAACATGAATTTCTGTGTGATGGGAATGTTGAAATTTGATGTTAACGCATTGTTTCCTAGACATGGTAGCAAGCTCGATACATTTATCTTTAGGGTGTTGAATCATATCATAACCATCAAATAGAGTTGCTAAAAAAATGAGGTCCAAGCTGACATGCAAGGACGGAACTACTCTTTAATGCTTAAGTAAATGTACCCACTTGCATCTAAGGTCGAATGTGTGGATTAGACTCTAACAATGGAACAGATTTTCAAAGTATATCACTATGCAAATTATTGATCGTAAAAGTCCAGATATATGTTTAATTTTTTCTGAAGCAAATGATGATATGCCAACAAGATATTTTGAATCTATTAGACTTTTTTACAGCAAACTTTTCACGTCTGGAAGCTTACGTGTATCGCTGCAAAGTCATGTGGAAGCCCCAAGTTCACCTTCTTTGGCAAGATGTTCCAATCTTTTTCACAATTCCTCGAATGGTTTTTCCATCATTCAATTCTTTACAAATCGAATGAAGAGAGAAATCTGAACTAGGCCGAATGGCTATGCGGGTCATCTGCTTCATCGATGAAAATAGATATCGAAGTCATGAAAGACTTATTGTAGCGTCTTGTTACTTTCACTCAAAAGCATACTCAGTATATCCGTGATAAGAAGTACAGAAGATTCTATATTTTTCTTTGTGCTCAAGCTACTGGATATGATTCCTTGTACGACTCGTCCAAGTCTACAGTGGATCCCTTCTATAATGTGTAATGTTATTTTCATTTCAGAGCAACTGTTTTTGTCTCTACATATCTTAGAACAACTTTCTTATCATACATTCGCAAGACAATATATACAATTGTCTCGCTTGAAACTATTTCATATCTCAATTAACTTATATTTAAATTCGAAGATTTTTATGATAACGTCTTTATTATCCAAGAATTCAACAACCAAAAAATTAAATTATTATTTAAAAAAACTCATGAACTCTATATTAACGTAACGACATCCAGCAGAAAAATTAAAACTTGATTTTGGCAGAAATGATCTTATTCATCGCTCTTAAATCAAAGCTCATACAATTACATCAAATTTTATTGCAGTCATTAGCCTCATCTGACCACAATGCTCTACTACAAATTTTTATTTTTTAACAATCTTCTTTTCTGCTTCCAACAATCAGTAGAAAAAAATTCAAAATAACTCCATCACATCAAATATAAGTCAAGATAAAAATGACATTCTTATTTTTCATGTACTTTTTTTGTTTTTTCTTCTCTTGGATATTATCCAACCTCAATATTGCTGTTTTATTGTACATATTATGCCATGTAACGACTAGTTTTACAAAAAAATTCCCAAAAGTAATATGATATCTTATCATCCACTCATTTGGATTCATTGTCTCAACCAATCTACCAGCTGCCTTTCTAGAATCTTATAACATCTAATTTCTGACTATTTGAGTGCTTCAGGTTTTTAACAAGCTTATACTTGTTTCCTGTAATCTAGAGAGTATACATATATCAAGTTTGCAAATGTAATTTAGATCTAAAGTTCAAGCAATAATGGAAAAAAATGGATTTTTCCAATTCAGTGCTGAATTCAGTCATAATCAATTTTATCAAATTCATACTTTCCAGCTATCTCAGCATAGTATAAATTTTTAAAATTTCAAATTAAGTGAAGCTATATGCAGTTTATCAGTGTATAAGCTATTCAATGACGTGAATAAATGTAAATGTGTGAAATGAAATAATTGACATGCTTATAAAATCACGTAGTTTGCATATTCGGAGTGATCAAATCTTTAAATAAGCACTCATATCTAAAGAGAGCTAGTGTTAAATATTTCAAAATAATGATCTCCAAACAAAATTCCAACTATCTGAGAATTTAATTTGTTCAAAAAAAGTCAATATAGATTATCTTTGTGATTTAATTTGTGTTAAGATGTGGAATAATTTCATTTGAATGAAACATTTCGCTCCATTTCTTTTCTTGATATTTTTTCAATGTTTGGATTACAATGATATATAATTGAAAAATTGTGGAGATACAGAATACTTCATATGAAAATTTTAACTTTCTATGATTTTATGATTTATCTGTTCACATAAAATATATGAAATTTTAGTAGAATCCACTTTTGCAAGTGAGAAATATACATGATGGAGCCCAACTACATGACAAGCACATACAATGGAAGTCAGTGTGACATTTTTCTCAATTGCAAATTCTACAATGTGGAGTGAGCACTTTCCTCTTGTGAGTGACAACTGTATAGAGTAAGAATAAATCTTAGAGTTACGTAGAGTTCATACACTTTCCCAACCTACTCCTTTATGATATGTTGAATCAAAGTTTCCTATAAAAAGCATATAACTCAAGGTTCCAGCTAGGTTGAATAAGGAACCCAAAATACAGCATCTATGAAGCAATGGTGCAATATCTCGGAATCATAGAAAGAAAAAAGCCGACGATAAATCCTTTTATAAATAAATCATTTTCTGTAGATAGAACGAGAACAAATTGAAAATTTGCATCCAAACGGTACCTCGGCGAGCTTCGTGAAGATCCTAAGTAATAGCAAGTGCAAATTACAAACTAAATTAATCAAGATAGACTAACTAGATCATATTATAAGAGATTACCATTGTCTTGGGCAGCAACAAGTTCATCCGAGGACATAAACAACTGAGAATCACATGAGAAAATCAATCAAAGAAGAAGATGAGAACACCAAGAGTAACATGAGTATTATAAGCTTGTAATTAACATAATTGAAACCCTAAAACCCCAATTATTCCTTGTTGTTGGACTACATTAAGCCAGTGGTCCTCAACAAATCAACGGCGCGGCCAATCACTTTGTCTGACCTCTAGAACTTAATCTCTCTTTATATAGCTAATAATTTGCCCTTGTGATTCTTGACAGCTTCACCGCAGCCCCTAGTTTACCTCCGGTGCTAGAGCATGACCAACTTCCAAGTTTTATGGCCTTGAAGATTTGTATCTTTGCTTCCGCGACACTTAACATCGAGTATGCTTGATCATGGTCCAATCCAGACTAATAGTAGGTCAGGTGTAACTGGTCTCTATTTTTCTTGGGTCCGGTTAATGTGTCCCCATTTCGTCACACGAACCTAACGTATATTTCATAAATGATTTTGAGTGTTTTTTAAATGGGTAGTACTGCGGATGTGTTTCATCTAAGAGTAGTTCACAATCTTCATAATGAAGGCAATCAAGCTTAAATTGTCTTGAGCTAAGAGAGTAGGTAGAGCTAACTCAATATGGTTAGTAACCATATTGAGGTAGCTCAACCTACTCTGTGTTAATGATACAATTAATGATGATATTCTAGAACCTGTGAAGAGTAACCAATGATCACACTTTCCAAGTTTCAGAATATTATCACTGATGAGGTGAGTCAAGATATATGAGCATCCAGCGCTAATATTTTATCTCTCCGCAAAAGTCTGGTCGGAGTCATGCCAAGCCGTCGCAATTTCCAATTTCCATCCATCGTTGTCATTGGTTGAGCAGTCGAATAGCATCAGCATGGTCAACTCCATTATCAAAACCAATTCGCATCATACTCATTCCGAAGTACGCAGGGAGAGTCTGTCGATGTCTCTTGCCGAACAGCGATTACATCCACCGGACAAAAACAGAAGTCAAAATACTCTACAAGTTGAATTTGAAATCCTTTCAAATTGGTGAAAGATTCCAATCAATCCAATATCATCTCCATAGAACCCACGGATTCTTATAGCATTATGTGTATTGCATCATTCTTGATCAAGACTTGGACAATCACATTGTCTCGTGATCTATTGATAAAACACAAGATGTTGAAAGGTCAAAAATTGGATGATTCTTTGTAGACACTTTTTAGAGCAAATGATGAACTTCAGATTCTATTAGATGGATGACGAGTCCAAAGAAGCCATTCTAAATACTCTGGTTGCATTTGTGGTGGGATCATCAATAGCGTTCAACCTAGTCAAGTACGAGGCATTTTGATCATTTTGCCGACGCCTCAATTCCCATTACTCATTGCCATCGCGGCAGACTTTGACACGCTCATCATGTGATCATTTTGAAGTATCATTGCTGACATTTTGTTCAATTATAGATTCAATTGAAGTAGCGATTGCTCTCTCTAGGTTGCTGGTCCTCTTGCGTGATGTGTGGTTATTGGATTGATCAAGAGTGCGAACTTCAATCTATTGTGTTAAAATTTTGCTACTTTTCACCTCCACACAATCAGCACATTACGTCATACTCGATTTTTTCTGTGATGAAGTATTTTAATATGTCTATCAAGATCAAGGTTGTTACATCCAACAGCTGCGGAGAGATGTCACATGTCTCTGTCATTGTGCGATGTAATCTGAATGATCACTACTTCTTTTGTTTTGAGTACGGTTTTCATTTCACATGCGTTTGTCACATCATCAATTGTGTTATATGTGATGTTACACAGTTCATCAAAAAGTAAGTGCAAATGCTTCATCAAATCCTCAAGGATGTTTGTAGAGTCATTGTTATCCGCGTCTAGTTTTCAGACGTGGCTGTTGTGTTGGCCATTTTCAAGGATTTTGTTGAAGTTTCAAGTTTGGATGTGGAAACGCGTTGGAATTTCTTGTTCACCATGATAGATTAGTAATTTCAGTATCGTGATGTATTTTCAGCGCCCTGCAATTCCAAAGAATTCTTTGATCGATTGGTCAACATGACTTTGTCCGACATGGACTGGCATGTTCTCAAATCATGTAAAGACTTTTTGCAATTTGTTTACGATTGCATTGTCGTCGTATGTGAACTTGACTATATTTGATTCTCTTTTTTGCCTCTAATTTACAAACATCTCCTTAATCTTGGCAAGAAACTCCATTTTGGACAATAAGACATTGGATTCATCACTTCTATCGTCAAAAAAATGATGCTGCCATGGAATTCAAGTTGTTGAAATATAATGCCAATCTGAATTTTCAAGCCACCAAAATCGCTTTGCTTCTTGATCCTCGATCCATCAATGCGTACTCTAAAATGATAAATCTCAAAGATCTGATTCTATTCATTTTAACGGTAGATTTCAGCTTGTGTTTCGAGTAGTTGTCATCTTTTACTTTCAATGTATTTGATCTATTTGCTGGAAAGGAAGACATTGTCATTGGAAACATTCCATGCACTGACGAGGTCGACGACTTCTTCATGCTCATGGCAAAAGTTGATCGTCGCATGTCTGACAGACTGGTGTGGTGGAAACAGCATTACAATCGCTCGTGATTTTATGCAAGATGGCGAGTAACACGTTGATGATTCAAGGTTGTTCCGTGTCATATCGGCATTTTTGGGCAGTCATGGATTTGTTCATCAAAATCGATCAAAATTATCGAGATGATGATGATATTGAAAAGCTGGAACCGCTTATTCGAAGAGTAAACTTCTCAAAAATGATAAACTTTGGTATGTGTCACTATTTCTCCAAAAGTTTTGAATGGACGGGTTAATCGTGAACAAGACCATGGCCAAGTCTAACTTCGAGTTCGTCGGGAGTTGGTAAAGTCACTTAATGTTTAATTTTTATTCGTGAACGTGCACTCCCGAACTAAACTTAATGGTATTGCTGAGGTCTACTTAATTACACTATTGAATTGGTCATTTGAAGCCTATTTCAAGAAACTTGCAGCTGCAGTTAGTAGGGGTGAATACATAAAAGATAATCACAAACTTGAATTGTTCATTTGAGATGTATGAGAGGAAATTTGTATTGCTGGTTCTCAGTGGGGAACACATAAACGTACTACCTATCCAACTAATCACAAACCTCAATGGTTAATTTGAGACGTATTTTGAAAAACTTGCATATGCGGTTCTCAATGGGGAACACATAAGATTCCTACCTATCCAACTAATCACACACTTCAATAATTGATTTGAGCCGTATTTGGAAAACTTGCATATGCGATTCTCAGTGTAAACACATAAAAGTCTTACCTAGATTTTATGTACAGTAGCTGGTACTACTCCAAATTTTTTGAGATATAATATCAAAGTAGATGAATTGTGATAGAGTTTGCAGATGTATGATAAAAAATAGTTATCCTCACCATAGCCTGAGGTAGAGCACCAGACCCAAGAGGGTTGGCGATGGACGATAAAACAAAATAAAACAAAACGTTATCCTCACCATGGACGCAAGACATGAACCAGTTGAAGCTGGGATTGCAACAGCGACTCTTCTGTGATTTCGTAGGATCCTGAAATCTTTGTGACGTTTTTAAATTCCCGAGAATCGAGGGGACTCAGATGAACGTCCAAGGCACTTTCGTAAGTTAATACACTATGTAAAGATCACCAGGACCAAGCGAGCTTTCTGAGAGAGGTAGGATGGGCTGTTTTGGCAGGTTATACCGAAGCCCAATTCTTTTGCAGCTGCCATGTCCGGAGGCTTAAGACATGACAACTGATAGAAAAAATAATTACATGTCTATAACAACAATCATATCCATCTAAAGGACGACATTCACGGTGTACTTGGTCATTCAAACATCTCTGGCAAAATATGACAAAACTCTGAGTTCTGTCGCAAATGCAGAAAGCAAAAAATCAAATATATATTCGCCTCGTGACAGAAGCAATTCAAAGCCAGTATTCAATACAATAGACCTCGACTTGCCAAACATTAGATCTTTCTCCAACATCACACTTAAAAAACAATTAACACATTCAGAGGTTGTATGTCTAGTATTCTAAACATAGTCTGGCCCGCCCAAAAAAATTCAGTGAGTACCAAACATTGTCTATGAAAACTACACACTGTACTCATATTCCTCTCATATCCTTCAGACCATCAAAGATAGTGACCGATATCAAGTTGACAGATCACAATGAAACGACAACGTTTTGTAATAAGGTTCACAATGTTGACATTCACAAAGCCCGTGGGGAAAAAAATCGTTTGCAACGTCACCGTTTCAAAAGAAGAATCATATACAAGCGGTTCTCTAACCTTGTCTGTACTCCCACTTAGAGTCAAATAGGCGGAAGATTGATACCTCGTTCACTATTTGAGGACTTTCCCTCATCATTTACCATACCTTGTGACTACTTTATCACTAGTGTTTATCACTATTCAACAACAACTAAAATATACATGTATAAGAAATTAATTGGTATACTTCCGCTTCCTCCGTTCACCCACTCCTGCCCTTGTTGTGCCTTCTGCCTTCACAGGAACTGAAGGAGGCACTGCCGGCTGTGCGAGAGGAGCTGGTGGAGGTGGAGCAGGTTCTTCGGGAATAGGTCGTGGTAATATGTGTTTCAAGCGATTGTTCCTATGATGCTTCCAGAAGTAGAATTGTTGTCGATGTGCTACCTCCTGTTATTTCATGCACACATTATTAGATGACAGGCTAAACATGAAGACCTTACGATCCAAATAGAGTTGGATGTAGATATTTGTGCAGCATTTCCGACAAAAAACTAACAAAATATATGGGTTCACAAACCTTGTTGACTGGGTGCGCCATTGCAGTGCGGAACTGTGCACTCTGAAGTAATTCAAGAAAGAACAGTGTGTGTGGATATCTGCAGCACCCAACCAAAAAGAGAAATAAGTCCAGGAAGTGCAGGAGATTACGGATGAGTAAACCATGTTAGGGATAAGTGGCAAAGTACGCGAAGAGCAGTTTAATGTAAGTACTAGCAAAAAAAATTTGGATAAAACCTGGCGTGGTACCAACATTACTGCGTGAATTTCAGTCGCAACTTACTCACTCATTAAATACCACATTTCGGCCGAGTATGGTTTTCATTGTTTCCTTTCAGAGTACTAAATTTGATCACATAGCTTAGACTGGCTCGTAACGTGTTTCTATTCCAAATACACTCCAAACTTTGATATCGAAATGAAATTTATCAATAAGAAATACACGAAACGAACAGATTACGTGCATAAACAAGAAACATAGACATGCGATGCTAGTATTGTTTCTGAGTACATATACATCTACTCTAGTGTTTCATCATGTCATTAATCATAGTTTAAATTGTTATTTTTAATGTTTGTGATACCAGTTTGATATTCATTGAAAAACCCATGTTCCAGTTACATTGTGAATTATTGTGTCCAATATCTTGTCACGCACGAATGAGTATGATAACATACTCCAAGTGCCCACGAGACCACTGAATGATTGCTCTCCTTCAAACACAAAAAGTCCAATTGACAAAGGTACTGAACTAAGATCAACGAATGCCATGGAATTAAAATATGGTCCATAGTTCGTCGCTTGAAAGTACGCTGCTGGGAAAAGAAAGGACAAGGACTAGAATACTATCGAGAATAATTTGTACATATTTTAATGTTTTAATCATGGAGTTTCGAAGCAACTTCACTGAAAATCCCGTGTTACAGTTAGGTTGTGAATTATTGTGTCCAATATCTTATCACACGCGAAAGAATATGATAACATACTCCATGATTTCTAAATACACTGTGATCAGCAACTTTGAACTGAAACGGGCATAGCAGTACTAATGATATGAACGCACGATCACGCCTACATGCAGACATGGAGAGATAATTCAGAGCATTATTTGCCCAACTAGTTCGGGAGTTTCACTAAGACTATCACATTGACTAGAGCCGACTAGAGGAATGACTCAATATGGTTCCTTAGCCCCGATAATATAAGTTCCAGTTAGTTTCCTGGAAAACGTCTTCCCACATTCCTGAATTATATGTAAGTTGTTCTGCAGTTTTAAGGGAACTAGACTCTCGACAAACAATACTTATGCTATGTCAATCCGTTCTGCCCCACACCGTTCGCGATCATCTGATATTGACTTCAAACTACATGCCTGCGGGCTTATATAATTTTTCGCCGGTAGCTCTTAATAAAGAAAACATAAAAAACCCTACACCACCCAACTAAATAGGAGCAATAGTAGACCTACAACAGTGGATAAGTAAACACAAATGACCAACAGGCTCATCAGAATCGGAGAGGAGGGTATGGAACACATGCGTCAACAGGAGACCTCATAATAAAACTGAACTGAATTCTAAGCACAACCGAAACATCTTCGAAGTCCTCGAACAGGATTCGCAGCTTCAAATAAATTGCGAGAAATTTGTTCGTGCCTTTTCCGGATCATTACTTAACACATTCGTTACAATTATTAATGCTAAATGTTTATTATGAAACTGATAGCCATGCTGGGTCCTGACGAAACGAATACTGAGGCAGCATTTAATAGTCAAATGGCTGCCCGATGACATCCTAAAACTTATGGAGAGCTTGTGACACGAGAAGATTCTTAGGAGAAAACATAATCAGCTGACGGAACAGACTGAGCATCAGTACAGGCATTCTCGCAACATAAACAAGCGATCGTAAAATCCAGGACACAAAACTGGACAGCAGAAAGACATGACAATACAGCAACCACTCGGTTACTCTCGCTAAATAACTTGGGTACAAGAAGTGTGTGGCGCAAGAAGTTTAAGGTTTTAGTTTGATACAGAATCAACAGGACGTGAGACAAGGAATTAAAGACTCACACGATAAATTTGGCGTACTCCGGACGTTGCCAGTACTGTAAGTACTTCAAGTAGCCCACAAACGCTTCGTCATCGAAGTACCGATTTTGAGCTAAGTCTGCCGAACAGGATCACAGCCACAATGTCAATTCACAAACAGTAGCAGGTATGCAACAGAGCAGGACAACCGGGTACAGGCAGAAGGAGAGGACTTACAGTGGATGTAAGTGGGGTTAGCAAGGCACTGCACGAATTCAAGCTCCAATTCAAATCGCTGTCGACCTCCATCCGTCTCCTTCAGTCCCACATCCTTCACTGGAACGATATCGTTCTGCATTTCGTCTTGCACGAATTTACATCCCCACAATTCACACACAGACCATCCCCGTGATACTCTGACTGTCCTGAAACCTCAACGCTCTGGGCGTGGCCTTCAAGAGTAGGGTTCACACTCGCCACAACATTCACACGAAGCCCACTGCCTGATCGGGGGCACAATGATCGTTGTGAGCTTTCCCAGAATTGCCTCCGGAGCTCCAGAATGTCTCGAACCTCAACTGCCCGCGAAGTCTGAAAGGGGCGACAACGCGCAATTCGATTCCTTTCTCGCGCAGGTCTGCTTTCGAGACGCTCGTGGCGGTTGTCTTCTACGGACAAGAAGGCACAGCCAAGCCCCGTCTTCTTGACGATGCTTTGCCGAAAAACGCTCGAAGCTCTTTCGCTATTGTCAGCCTCCGACGTCCGTCCATGAAAACGGGCCAGGGACCTGACATCTCGCCTTCCTTCTCGGCCTCCTCGCTAGCTAGTGTACAAGATCGCCACTTCGTTTCTCTTCCAAGTTCAGGAAGTGGACGGAAATTGTCGTTTTCATCTAGTATTTGTTCGTTCGGAACTAGACGAAAGTTTTCGTGGTACAGAATCACAAGTATAAATGAATGTTCAGTTTCATTGGGAAAAAAAAAAATTTCTTGATATATTACAGATCATGAATCAGTTGAGGAATAACGAGAAATTTCAAAAAAACAAGATGATGTCGTACTTTTCAATTTTCTCCGAAGCTAAAATCCAAAGTCTAAATGATAAAACCTTGAATTAAATAAATATTATCTTTTTTCATTATTTAAGTTTTAATTTGATGGAATTTCAAAATAAAATTATTACGTTTACCATATATCATTGTGATAACAAATAGAATTTTTGATACAAATTCAATACCATATACATGTATTTCATAAAATAATAAAAATTTTGCCACAATTTAAAATTTTCAGTATGCGCATGTAAATCTTTATTTTATGTTATAACATATGTCCAATATTTCAGAAATATTAATATTGAACATTATATACCATAATCTTTATAATTATTGTGAAGAAAATCCATAAAAGTTCTAATACAACAAGTGTTCTGTGTTAAATTTTCAAGAGAAATTCAGCACATAATGCTCTTTGATTTAGAACTAATTAAAATTAAAACGTAGTCAAAATATGATACAATAACAATATTTAAAATTTAAAAAAATCTTATATATTTTACTTGTGCTCCTTATTCAAAACTTGCATACCAAAATTTTCCAAAGTTATAGTTTAAACCATCGCGTCAACTAGATCAAATTTATTGACTATTTTGTCTAACAGTTATCAAAAACTTCATGTTTGATGTCAATCTATTCCATCTTATTGTTCATCATTTTCTTTGCAGATGTAATGTACTTTGATTATCACAATGAAGACTATCAATCATACTTTTATCTAATGTTAGTGATAAGACTATTTAATCATATAGTTTATTTTGAGAAACCTGGGAGTAAAAGAGTTTTTCAAAAAGGCTCCGGATCTATGGCTATTAGTGACAAAAATCCATCATACTAGCACAAAATTTTCATAAAATGAAAACACTCAAAATTACTTTCCCAAAAAATTGTTGTCTATATGACAAAAATTGCAAATTAAAAAAATCCTAAAATTTTGATAGTTTTTCTTTGATTTTGTACACCCTAAACTTCAAAATAACATAACTTAATCTCTAGACGTGATCTTTTAGTAAAATTTTAGTTTACATATAGTTTATCTTCCAATAAAAATTTTAAAAAAAATTCAAAATCTAAATCTAAATACACAAAAAATGATATATTATGTATAAAAAATTTTGATAACAAACTTTTGGTACCCGTGAAAACCCACTTTACTTTCAACACTCATAATTTTTTTATCAATACACAATATAGACTTGAAACAAAAACTGAATTATAATTCAACTTTCATTCTTTCACAATCAATAAAAAAATTTAAAAATAATTTCAATTTATCAATCATGAACTCATATGAATTCTAGTGATGTGAGTGTTCCTAATGGTGCAGAAACCTTAGAAAATATTCTTCAGGTGGAGCCAGTTGTTCATGTCACTCCTCCACAAGCTCAAGGCCAAAGCACCTCGGGTGGTCATGAAGATCATGACTCGCCATGTCCAGATCAGGTCATTGAAGCAAGCAATCATATTGATCAAGAGCAAGGCGACTACGAACAGGAAATGACAAGCCAGAGCAACTCAAAGCAATCTCTACAACAACGTGATTATTTTCTGACTAGGAAAAGAGAAAAGAGAGTGTGAAAACCTCCACAGAGATATGGCTTCTCCACATACTTTGAAATACTTGACTACGCGTTCACATCAGCCTTAGAGATTCAAATGAAGTAGACTCTCTACTATCAAGATGTTGTTGTTGTATCAGATTCAGAAAAATGGAAGGAAGCAATGATATAGAAAATGGAGTCCTTGTATAGGAACAAAACTTGGAACATAGTTCCAAGACTCAAGAATCAAAAATCAGTGACGTGTCGCTGGCTTTACAAGATCAAAGAAAGGCGTGATCAATTCTGACAAGCCTCGGTTCAAGGCCAGACTAGTGGCAAAAGGTTTCACACAGGTTGAAGGAGTAAACTATAATGAAATCTTCTCACATGTGATAAAATACAAGACCATAAGGATTATGCTTGCACTTGTGGTTCAGTATAATTTGGAATTAGAGCAAATGGACGTGAAAACAGCGTTTCTCCATGGCGACCTGAAAGAAGTGATTTACATGGAGCAGCCACCAGGATATGAAGTGCAGAAACGCAAAGACATGGTGTGTCTACTAGAAAATCGCTGTATGGCTTGAAGTAGTCATCACGTCAATGATAAAAATGTTTTGATACATTTATGCTTGAGCAAGTATACAACATGAGTTCCTATGACTCATGCTTGTATTTCAAAGATAATAAAGTACTCAAAAGCATCTATCTACTGCTATATGTAGAAAATATGTTATTGATCAGTAGCTCAATTTCAAAGATATCAGAACTCAAGAAGATTTTGAGCAAAGAGTTTGATATGAAAGATTTAGGTGATTCCACGAGAGTTCTTGGAATTAGCATCATCAGAGATAGGAAAAATGATTCATTGGCATTGTCACAGCGTGGCTACTTGAAGAAGCTAATTGACAAATTTGCAATGAAATATTCAAAGCCAATGACTCAATCATTAGCAAATCATTTTAGCCTTTCTGCTAATCAATGCTCTTCGTCAGCATTAGCAAAGCAATTTATGGAAGATGTTCCAGATTCAAGTGTTGATGGCTCAATCATGTACACAATGGTGTGTTCAAGATCTACTATTGTCCATGCCATTAATGTTCTTAGTAGGTACATGTCAAATCCTGGCAAGGAACGCTGGCTGGCTATGAAGCATCTCTTAAGATACTTGAAAGTCACTAGTGATGTGGATTTGATGTATTGCAAGAGCGGTAGTTCAGTTCAGGTGGAGAGTTATGTAGACTCTGACTACGCATGGAATAAAGACAGCATGAAATCTACTACAGCTTATCAGTTCTTGATCAATGGCAATTGCGTGAGATGGAAGTCACAGTTACAGCCTGTTGTGACTTTATTCACAGCAAAGGCAGAGTACATTGTTGCTATTGAGGCAATGAAAGAAGGTATATGGATTCAAGGTCTGCTGAAGGAGTTACATGTGTTCCAAGGTACAGCAACACTCTTCTTCGATCGCCAAAGTGCAATCTATCTGTGCAAAAATCTAGTGTTTCACGACAGAACAAAGCACGTTGACATCAAGTACCACTTCATCAGAGAAAAAATCATTGATGGCGATATCAACATTGCAAAAATCAGCATTGATGACAACCTGGCAGATTGCGGCACTAAAGTGGTAACTTTGGGAAAGTTTCGATTATGTGTGAAGCTTTTCGGAGTTGATGCTACGTGACTGAGCAAAAATCGAATGATGAATCAATAAAAGAACGAGTACCAAGTTTAAGTTTAGGTGACCAAGATCAAAATTGAAGACTGAGGTGGAGATTGTGAGATATCAGCTTTAGTTGCATGTCATTATCTCTTTTAGAGTATTTTTTGTGTAGTAATAGCTCGTTGATGACTCAATATCCTATGGGTTGTGTAGGAATTGACTGCTTTGATTCATTCTGATTTATTACCATTATAAGGTACCATTATAAGTCAGGATGATATAAGGTCAGTTAGCAAATTAAGGAAGTGCATTACAGTGAGAAGTATTTCAAGAATGTTCGAGAGGGAGAACGATGAGACACATAGAGAGTGGAAATCATCTGTGAGGAAGTGGTAGCATTGCTCGGGAACAGGAGTGATTTTTCCTATGTGTAGTTCTCACTAGATTGAAACCTTGTAATAACGGTAGGAAGGTCAAGTCTGAAGTTCTATACTCAACCTGCTTTCATTGAAGAGTTTGCGGGGAGTAGGCTTTTAAGCTGAACCTCGTCAACAAATGCTTGTGTTTGTATGGTGTGTGGACTGTGATTTTCTATAGGTTATGGGGATTCAGATCCTTACAATCTAAATAAATATGAAAATACTCAAAGCATGGAGATATCTCCGGTCTCCGTCATTGTAGGTGAATGGTTTTTGCCTCATCGTTTTGCCTAGACTCATGGTCTTCAGCTTCCACTTTATTTGTCTCTCCCATAGCAATTAGTCATCATAATCATTGTATTTGATTATGGCATATACCGCTAATTTAGACTTAGTGGCCGTCATCTCATTTTGTCGAACATTTAAAGGTTTTACTTGTGCCGTTCGAAGGTAAATGTTTCTATTTCATTGATGTAATTATCTTCTAGATCAAAAAGTTGATCCACTATTGCTAATACTAATTGCTACCATGCGAAGTCTCTTTACGACACATTGTGCATTGGAAGACAAGATAAGTGACATACATGAGCACGAAGAATCTTAGCGTGAGCGGGACGTGTATCTCCCTTGATTGCTCACAAGGGAGATTTGCTCTTCTCAGATAGCTCAATCATTCAAATTCCTTCACAGAAATCCTGGTGCAAAATGACATGGAATCGATCGATGTATCCTCGCAATTAATCATCTACGAGTTTCTGGAATGTAAATTGCACGTGCTCTATCACAATCTACAAAAAAACTTCTCTATGTTTCGGCGAACACACACACATTCTATATCTCTCTCGACACTTGGTATATCTATCATAACAACCAGCGAGGTAGCCAATCATTTGGCTACCTCGCTGGTTGTTATGGTCAAACAGTACACTCGTCTCTCACAATCCAAGTATAATAATGTCGTCTAACGAAGTCTTGAAACTTTTAGACTACTCTTGGTCCTCAATCGCCTCTATCTTGCTTGAAACATTACAGAATAGAGCCACTGCATTAGTTTTCATGTGAAAATGAATAGAACACGGAGAATTAGCATGTTGTAATTGTGTCTATAGTATGGCAATGGATTTCAAAAAGCTGAAGTTTCTAGCACATGGAAGCACGAGCTAAGTTCGTCTTCGTCAGAAGTTCCGGTTAGAAGTGAAAAAAACCATCATCCTTTTCCAGAAGTCTCACGCCTCGCTTTCTCACAAGAAGGTTAAAGATGTCATGTTTTACTCTGCAAGATGGAAGACACTTTCCTCAAGATGGAAGAAACTTTCATTGAAAGCTGGAGAGAAGTTGCTTGTCTAGATGGTGCAGATGATGGGAGGTAGAAAGAGCTGACACTAGAAGCACTTAGAAAGTATGATGTTGCACTAACAAGTAGTGAACGTTTGGAGGAATTTGACCTCAACATACACTATTGTTTCTCACTCAGTCGTTGCCCTCCCACTATCACTTTCTTTTCTTTCTTTCATCCTTGTGTTCCCGATGCTATTGTTACCTATTCACAAAATCGGCACCGCGCGTTTGCGTTTCTGCTCCTTTCTCTTCGCGTTCTCCTTTATGGCAACAACAGTAATCAAAATCTAGCCGAAGGTATTGGAATAGAGGGGAGAAGTCGCCTTTCAAGTCAGATTTGCCGATGCATGCGACTCCTTCGATGTTGCTCCAGTTCGATCTGAAGTGAGCCACGATCCAAGAACGACTACAACCGACAGAGACACACATATAGACTCAAACGAGCGTTGAGCACTCCCACTTAGGTACGCGAGAAGAATGAAAGTTAGTACGTAGATGCTATGAAGAGTCAGAGTCCTAGACGGAAGTTGCGATGAAGAGCCTAGATCTGAGAAACATAAATTGGAGAGCCACATGCAGTCTCAGTCTCGGACAGTAGTTGCAGAGGATACATGTAGGCGCGACGATGATCCAAACAAAGTCCCATCTTTGAGTCTATCGCTTTGACATTAGTTTACATGTATAATTTTATTATAAAGCACAAGAACATCAAAACACACATCCACAAAAACATGTAGCGTGGTTGGTCTATGTTTACTCCACGACACACATTCACAAAAACACAAAGATTTGATACGACAAGTAACCGTGGTTCGTCTATGTTACTCCACGGTATCAGATCAGTTTAACAAAACAGAAACTAATACAATGCTCTGGGGGCCTCGCCTTATTAATCATCAGCGCACATCAAAGACATGATTTGATTTGACACAAGAAATATGTGGTTCGCCTTTGGCGTTTTCATGGGAGGATTAGAGTTTTACTGTCAACAACTTTGAAACAATGTTTAGGGGACAAGCTACGTACTGCGGCCCTTAGTACTTAAAATCAAATCCTAAAATGTAATTGTCCAAAACGCAGTTGACAGCCAATAGTCGACAGTAGTTCACCCTAACAAACATAACATAATTCTTTTCCACATCTTCCGGAAAACTAGTCGTTAGTTGACAAAAATTATCCATGTTACATAATAATGCATATACTATACTACTATTAGTCTGATCATATGAACTATTTATTCATGTTGTGTTGGATTATTTGATCTGATTTATTATAGTCTTTATCTAATATTTTATTTAATGAAATACTAGATTCATTTTAGATAAAAATTATCCAAAAAAAATCCATGCAAACAAAATAAGATGTATTTAAAAAATATTTCAAAATTTTGAATAAAAAATGGAGATTCAACACAGAAAAGATCAAGTTAAACAACCAAGGTGTAACAGCAAAAAATCATTAAAAAAAAATACGTTATCAATTGCAGTAGAAATATCAAAATGCCAAAGATTGAGAGTGCATAAGCTAACAGTTGAAATTGATGATTCATATAGAGAGCTAAAACCAAAGTCAAAAACCATCAAAGTCAAAATTAAAAAAATCTCAAGTCGAGATTGCCCAAATTGTTAAAGGTGAAGTTTAAAATAGCCATAATGTCAAAATAATCCTTGTGCTTAATGTGAATTTTTTAGCAAGTTACATGCTCCAAAAGAAAAATTGTGAAAGATACAAAGTATCAAAGAAAAACAATCTTAAAATCAAAATGCTAAAACTGCACTGAATAAGAGTCAAAAAGCCAAAATACTAATTCGACATAGCCAACGTGCCCAAAGCTGATGTTTTATTGTTAAAAAATAAGACTACGAAGAAAAAATTTTAATGTCAAAATGCATAAAAATAAAAAATGCACGAGTGTTCAAAGTGCCAAAGTTAAAATTTCAAAATGAAAATGCTCCAAATAATGGCCAAAGTGCTGAAAAATCAAAGCAACAAAGGTGATCAAAATGATAAAATCTAATACTTACAAATGATGTTGGTTTACAAGTGATGAAATTATTAAACATTGATTGTGACAAGAGAGATGATGGAAAAGAACAGAGGTGGGTTAAGAAGGGGAGATGATGAATTAAATTTTTGAATTACATCACATGGCATAAAGAACACAGCATGCAATTTTATCTTGTTCATAAACATTTATTGGTATATTTATATGTCAGAAGATTGTTCTGTGATTATATTTTCAAGCATATCTGGTACACATACATTTTTTATATATTATTCATTTATCTATTATATTATTTACGCAATATGGAAAAATACTGAAGTTAATAACGTAGTGAACATTGAAGTAACTTTTCTCACTGCTACTTTTTTATGAGGAAAGATTAAGTTTAAACTTAATAAATGTGATCATCAATGATCTATGTCAATGCATCTGTGAAGTATTTTGTGATTCACTTAGTGTTTTAATGAGGAGCACACAACCTCACTCAATCACAATATGATTCTTACAGTGTTTTTACTCAAATAATATGAGAGTAAACTACTTTCTTGCAAATATATTCAGAATGAAATATATTTATGTTGATATGATCAGATTATTCTTGCGTATATCGTGGTTACATGTTTATGCCTAGAATAGTTTATAAGAAGGTTGTATCATCTGCTTCAGCACTCCAGTGTGAAAATGCATTATATCATTCCATGGTATGTGATCAAAGATCACTCTTTAACTTACCATGATGTTTAGCAGTATACAATGTGGTAGTATATATGTTCACATTTCCTTAAATAGGTGGAATCAAAACTAGCTTTTGAGAGTAGAATGCTCCCTTCTCTTCTCCTTGCGGTCCAGTATGGATTGCTGCTACTTTATCGCAGCACATGTGTTCCAACTCCTCACAGCGCTCATCAACACCTTAGAATTGGCGACTGAGACACATTCGAAATGAACGAGTTTCATTTAGAAAAACGTATGGTAATAGCAGACATCCAAAGTTTTTCACTGTCTTTGCAAATTCAAACTCGACTGTCCCAAATTTGGATGCTGAGATCGACTATTGGAAAAATATTCCGACAATCCTATCAGAGTGAGTTTTCACATTTGTTGCAACGTAAAGGATTCAGCTGCTGCATCGGTTGACTCACATGACCAGCAGATACGTCACCCCGGCCATGTTTAGAGAACAAACACATGAATGACAAAAATGCCGACTTGGTGTACAAACTCCGACTTGGATAAGATTACAAGTGTCAATGAATAATTTACAAGTTGATTGGGTATGTATAATAAGAAAACCCTCCAATGAGAACTTGGAAGGTCGGGACGCGTCCTAAAGAAGAACCTGTACCGGTATGACATGGTAGTCCTACCTTGACGCTCACGTCCAGAGTTAGTCTGCTGCCGTTTTTCCTGTATAGGAAAAGCAGTCGGCTGGTCTGGCGATTCTCTTCAATGTGCTCTCAAAAAAGGAATCAGTCCTGCAAGAATCATCGATGATCTAACCTAAGTAATGACCTAGCTATGAAGCTAAGTGAATGACAAAATAGAATCCTCCAGACATCTGCAGCTATCAAGATATATATTCGGAGTGTAACGGAAAGCTCCAAAAATCAACTTCCCTTGGGATCATTCACAGTGAAGTTACTTGTTCCACCTTCTCTCTTTCGGAAGTTGAGAAACTGTAGTCCCACCTTTGGGTATAGCAGCAGCGGTGCTCAAAACACGTTGTGCCCCTCCTACGGCGCCCGGTGGGAAACGTCCGAAGGTCCTTGCTATACTTACTCTGCGAAGCTTCCCTACACCCAATTTCTTAGCATCTGAAGCACCTCCTAAACTCATACTTCTTTCGGAGACGTTTGCAGAATGCATGGGTTGTGACTGCTGCTGCGCTTCTTTATGCTTCGATTCTCCCATCTTCTCCTTTTGGAAAACAGGAGATGCAAAATGAACAGCACGCCGTTGAGGAGCAGCAGATGCAACTGTCGTACTGGCAGAACCATTTTGGGGATGTGTAGCTGAGCTATGCATTTCTCCTGCATCGTTGCCGAATCTGGCATTTTCCTTCGCACCGTCGGGACCAGACTCGTCTGACGAGAAGGAGGACGTCAGAGTCACTGGATTAATCGTGTAGGTAGAAGCTATCGAAGCTCGCATGGGCTTCCGCAGAATTTTCCGCCCAATTGTGGGAGAGTTATATCTTGAGGGAACCACCTTCGTTCTGGCAGGCTTGATTGGCGGTACCTCTTCAGCAGCTTCTGTGTGTTGGGGGTCCGCGTTCTCATTGTGGGGCTTCTCCTTTTCAACCGGCTCTCTCACAGGGGCAGCTGAAAAGCGGGGACTCGCTGCAACTCGAGGACTCCCCATACCTCCTCTCGAACCCGGCTCTGAAAACTCTTGTACCTTTTCTAGGAGAGGACGACGCTCGGGCACTCGCTCGGTTGGCACCTTGACCTCCTTGATGGGAACCTTTTCAAGATGTTGGGATCCCTTCTCTTTCAACGCCGCTGTAGCCGCTAATCTGGCTTTTTTCTCTGCAGCAAGCTGTGCTTCAAGATCTGCCACAGCTTTCTCCTTTTCCTTCATCTGTCATTGGTAACAAGTTTTCAAATCAATAATCGCGGTTATGTACATATAGAGATGAAAAAAATCAAGAATAAATGGGACATGAGGCCATTATCTGTAAGAGGTTTTCTGGCTCATGATATTCAAGAAGTTGTCCCAGTAGATCTGACTGACCTTTTCAACAAGCACCTGATACATGTGCTCTTTAATTTTGAGTTTGACCTCAGTGTTCCGGAGGTTGTCTTCAACTTTCTTCATAGCTTCCTCTTTCGTTCGTCCTTCTTGCTTTGCTCTCTCAGCCTGCATATGTGCAACTTGACAGCGTTTCAGCAAGGACTGTATGGTTTCAACCTTTGCAAATCAGGAGCTATGCTCCACCAAAGTCCAAAGGTTTCAAAGAAAAGGACGGCCAGTGTACAATTAGTTGCTAGCTAATATACAAGCAGACATTCAAAAAGAGGAGGAGTGCTGACCAGTTGCTTGTACTTAAAGAGCTCGCTCGAATCTAGCTGCTTTCGGGCGGGACCAAGCTCCACACCTCTCACCCTACTAGCAAAGTTGAGAGAACACAACGATTCTCCGACGTCATCCTCATTGGGACTAATTTGAACAAACATTAATGTTTTGGAATCTCCACCTACACGTTGAGATGAAGGAGATGTTAGTAGGAAGTTCATCTGAGAAGTAAAACGTTGAAAGTACGTGTGGCAACATCTGCTCGTACTAGCTAGCAGGAAGCAGGCAGCACAAAAGTGACACTCGTGAGATAGGGGTATATATGAAGTGAAGGAACTTACCAAGGGAATCCTGCAAAAGATGCGTTAATTTTGAATTCCTGCAAGGTTACATACGGTCAGCTTATGGTCTGAATAACCTCTACGAAGTTAAGGACAAAGAGTAAACCTTGGCCCCACTTAATGACAACCCAGGACAGAAGAGACTTTCAAGTAAAAGCAGTGTATAATTTGATGCTTGTTGGTGGGTCGCATCGTCAGACAAATGGCTCGTAGAATGAGCGAACCTGAACGGAATATGACTGCTCTTGGTTGTGAGAGCAGCGATAACATCTCCCAAAGCAGACAAAGACTTATTGATGCTCTGCGCCTCACGGAGACGGTCGCCTATCACATCACTCTTTGCGACACGCTCGCTTCCCGCCAAGTCTACAAGCCATAACTTGCTTCGAGTACATTCCCCCGTGATCAAGTTCTGGCCCTTGACCATCACACAAAGCATGCTGGAGACACCCGAGCCCAGTTCATTATTAGATTATTGTACGAGCCACCTACAAACTTCATACATGGAAGGAAACAACTTCGGTTCCTCAGCACAAAATAGTGATGCTCCAACAATGCACAATACGAACGGGTCCCATATACAAGAACTAATCAAATTCAAAGAGTTTGGAAACGAACCAATGAGAACGACTACTGTGTTCATTAGAATTTGTTGACTCGACTGCCCTCGCACTACTTCCAACTTGAAGTACATCCCATACTTGTGTCATAGTTTGTACTGGAGCTTCCACAAGGCCTGGCACATGGTGGCCTCCTTCAGCCAATTGTCTGATCTCGAGTCTGTTCAAAGTACTGCCTGTGTTAGACGCGCTTAGGCACCAGTGCATCACGGTGCACTAAAGCATGACGTGCACAAAGTGTTCTGATTCGCAACAGAATAACATCTCTAAGCATGAGAGTCAATGAATTGATTCAATCTATGTGAAGTATACGTCGTGTACGGGTTACTCCGGATAATTTAATCCTTGTCTTCAGGAACATACTTACGGAGGCTTGATGAAGGGGGAATACATCCTCTTGTGACTACTACTGCTGTACGCCTTGCAAATTGTTAAGAGGATACTGAGGTTATCAACGAAATACTACTACTTACTTCTTCACGGCCTGGTCCGGCTCTGGAGCTGGAGCCAGCAAATCACGAATTTGCTCGTTGTAGACCTCCAATACACTGACGCAGATTTCATAGTTGAACTGAGCCTTACGTAGCTCAGCCACATGGAAAAGCTCTTCAAGGGTGCGGTAATTAACACCTCGGTTATCCGTGGTACCCTCCATGGTAAAGGTCTTCCCAGTACCTGTTTGCCCATAAGCAAAGATGCAGACGTTGTAGCCATCTAACACTGAGACGACAACTGGCGCTGTATTGGCGAATACCTCACCTGACATTTGGGAAAATGAAGAAAATGTGCACAGAATTAGTATAGGTAATTCAACTTCACACCGAAAGCTAGATAAGTTCAAAAACAAATTTCTCACAGCCTACTTCTAACCACGTCCTAAGTGCGGTCAAGTGTTGGAGCGCATAACAAAAAAGTTGCTGGCTTCATGTCGCAAACTTGATGCACAAACGCATCGTTTAAACCAACCTTGATCATCTTGTGGAGTAAACACTCGATCAAACTTAAACAATTTCTTGGAAGCATTTCCAGTGCGAACGATCAACTCGTTGTCTTTCACAGCATCGAACTCTACAACTGATGACGCCCCATTGGTAACTTCGAACGAGCTTAGCGGACGGCAGCGGCAGAAGACACGGATATTCCCTGCAAGCAGATGGAGGGAAATTCATCCAGAGAAAAGAAATGATGCACACAACTGCCTAAGCAGACGGATTTTGCATCTAGCAGTATCCAGCTATCTCATCAGTAACAAGAGTTACAAACGAGCGGACATAGAAGTATACCTTTCAATTCGAGAACCTTGTTGTAGAGTTGTCTCCTCTCAAGACTTTCCTCGACGTATTTCTTCCTCAGCTCCTCGTGCTCCATCACTGAATGAAAGAATAAGAGTTACAACAGTCTTCAAAATCTGGTCCATCAGGACTTGTTCTCATACCATAATAATTGATGCAGATGCTGAATACGACTTCCGGGGTGAAAATTAAAAGTGCATAAAGAATGGATGGAATGGAAGAACTGATACCTAAAAGTTGCACAGCACTAGTCATGCCAGTTGTATCAGGAAAAGTAGTTATCCAATCCTTAGTCTCCCTCGCTAAGATAACAAAGTTGGCCTTCACAACCTGCCAGTACACCAGAGTCGTCCATTTCAGTTAAAATTTCCTCCGATATCAGTATTTGAAAGTGTCGGGAAGTTCAAAGCTAGGAGTGGACCGAAACTAACCTCCATTTCATGGAACAGATTGGCAAAAGCGGTCTTCCACCTCAGCATACCACCCTCTGCTTTGTCCTTCAGTTCCTTCATTTCAGCTTCCTGGGTCTCGACAACATTCGCTGCCAAATCATCGGTAAAAACGAATCAGTGGCAGTACTTGATGACTTACTATAGCACAACGTCAGATGTAAACAAAAGACATTGAGCTGATGGTGAAGTCCGGAGCCGAACATAAACATAAGTGGAACCATAATTGGTAACAGAAAACTAACCCAGGGCATCGATGGTGACCGACTTGGAGACCAGCTCGTTCTGCAATCGCTCAATGCTTCGATTGGAGTCCTGAAGAGAGATCCACGCCTCATGACACTCGTTCTTGAGAGCCTCCAACTTGGCCTCATATTCTGCAGTCTTTGCACGGTTCTTGCTCTTCACCTGATGCACGTCTCAAGTCAAACTTCGTGAGGCTATTGACCCAAGAACACAAGCTTCGAAAATCAGGGAATTACTAAGGACTGTGTATCATCTCTCTGATGGCGTCTATGTCCGGTGTCGACCGGGATTGGGGATGTAAAACGTGAGAAAACAGAGCTTGCCATCCCAGCCAGCCACTAAGAAAAAGGTCAAACCAAATCAATAAAAAATCTAATCATCCACCCAGTGCGCCGTGATTACCTGCTGTCGCCGGGACTTGTGTTCTACCTCCACTGGCTCTACTGAAGTTTCATAAACATTTTCTTCTGTCTTAGCAATACTCTTCGGCGCCTGGATTGTACCTGCACCATAATTCATCTTAGTGAGTCAGTCATTGATCAAGAAGTGTCGCGTGCCCATTGAAGAGTCCATAGTACAGCATTACATGAGATTCACTAGCAATGAGCAGCTAGCAATTCTGGCGCTAATACATGAAACTCTATGACCATCTCTTCTATATCTTGTCTATTCACAGTAGGCTACATGTGACGAATTGAGGAGTGTTGCTCAGAGTAACACGAAATATCATTAGCGAGGTAATTTCAATAATAGGGGAACATGGCTGACCGGAATATGGGGCCCTGCGGACACATATCGCACTGATAGTGGGATTGCCAATGACGCCCTCAAAGGAGATTATCAGAGATCCGTTGACCACGCAAGTTTTAGCACAGAGGATGAGGGCCTTGTTAGACCCCACTTCTCCGTAAACGTCCAAATCGGAAATTACCTGCAAGGAGAGGTCATGGGCACATAAATCACTCAACAGAAACTCGACACAACTCGGCACAACTCGGCACAGCGAGTATCACTCGCTGGAGAAAAATGTTGAGTTCCTTTCGATGCAATAGAATTGATAGCTCAATTGAATTTGAGAAGCAGTGGCAATCACCTTCTCTCCTTGTATGTAGACATCAAAGACACGCATGCCAGACGGTCCGTTCGAGAAGACAATCTCCGCGAAGTGGAGATCGACATAAAAATCTCCACAGGGCAAGTCGGTAAACTTGTAGGAGATATTTCCATATCTCGCCGTTTGATAGAGAGCCTGCTCGGCTGTTTCGCCAATCTTTTCTTCGGTTCTAAGGACATCGCCTCCTACGTAGTTCTGATCTTTAAGGTACTCAATTCCACTTGAAGAGTAAGCCGGTGTGGGCGATCCGGCATTTAGAGCGATCACCAGCTCTCCTGCAAGTCATTCAAAATTGAAAATGTGCCGTAAGAAGAACTGAATACAAATTGAGTATATGAGAGCAACTGACAGCTTCGTGCGCTCGAACGAGAGGGTCGAGGCTGCTCTAAGAAAGCAGACTGCAAATTAAAAATCTCTCACGTTCACAAAATAAACCGGAGACTCGTCCTCGTACAAACCAGACGCAACGCATGTTACTTATGGCTTGCAAAGGAGGTCACGGTCACATCCGAGAGAGAACCCATCTAAGGCGTGCGTTTTGGCCACACTGAGCGAAACCCGCAGCAGAAAACCAGTACCACGTTTTACTAGGCACATTGACTGGATCGAGGTACTTACAGCTAAACCTGCTAAAATTTGCGAGTTTCCTTTTGAACATCTTATAATTGAAATTAGACGATGGACATGTAAGTTGCTGAAAATCTGCTGCGATAGTGACTTTAGTTGGCTCTTCTGAATCTCCATTCAAGACTTTTGCGTAACGTTCTACAGATAATTGCTCTCATTGTAGACAACTGAATCCAAAAGCGCCCAAAGAAACAGCTTTGCCGATTATCTGTTTTCTAAGAGGATCTGTCTTATAGTGAAAGTTGGAGTTCTGTTTAAAACTCCATTCAAGACTATTGCGTCACGTTCTAGTGATAATTCTTTTCACCGCAGATAAATAGATACAATATCGTCAAAACAAAGTAGCTATGCCGATTGTTTGTTTTAGTTACAGGATCGTTTTAAGGTGAACGTTGAAGTTATCGTTGATTTGACAGAGTACAAAGTGGAGCTCGTAAAACCGAGAGGCGCTGAACTCAGTCACATACCTGGGTTTTTCTTGATGGCCTCCGCGTCATTGAAAACTCGAACGCACAACTTGGTCAAAATTCTACTGTAATCTTCGGTCATCAACTCAGAATCACTCTCCACAACATCAATTGGGTGATTTTGGGCATTCGGGGAAAGCTCGGGAATGGGGGATCTTGGGATGCTTGAGCTGGAGCTTCTCCTATCTAAGATTTGGTTTTGGACGATCGCATCAGTTCCAGAGCTACCTGGCTGAGAGATAGAAGGAATGTCCGGTTCGTCCTGTTCCTCTCCGACGCTATCACTCTCATCGTGATGATCAAGAGGGTCTTCGAACCTCAAGTCTTCGGTGAAGTTCTGAGTCAAATCAGTTTTCTTTTCCGCCATCCGTGAATTCCGAACATAAGTGGCTTCAGCACTTCTCCTCCTAACTCGGCCGTTGGTCGCATTCCCTGGGTGTTGGGCATTTTTCAGGGCATACTCAGCAGCGTCCCAGGTTTGAGTCGAATCGAAGTACATTGTCGAATCGAACATATCCGCTGAGGCGTTTTCATTCTCTGATTTGGTGTGGCCATTGGCCTCACTGAAGGAGGAGTACATCTCTTCCATTGAACCCCTTGGCCCACCTGCCTCCAGCCAATCTGCGACCTTCCTAACGTAAGCTTCTCCCAAACTGTCCCTCACGCTTGGGCTCTTCCTCCTCGGTTCTTTTCCCAATTCCTCCGAGATCCTCCTACCTAACGTTTTCGGAGGTATGGTTGCAACAATTTCATCATCGACATCCATATTTGCACCAGTGGCGATCCACTTATCCTAGACCTCGAGGATCCCCAAGCCGCAATCAATCATACTCCGGCCACTAGAACTAAGCAGCCAAAACGTTCACTTGTGTGCCAAAACCTTTCCAGGCACGCCACACCAAAGCCCAAACGGGTAAACCACAGTCCGTGAACGGTCAACCTCCAAAAGGTACAAGGATTGCAAGCACGCAAAATCCCAAGGACACCAGAGACAACCTTCGATCTGGCGAATCCTAGCTCGGGAGGCCTTGTGAGCACGACGTTTTCAAGTCTTCTACTACACAGGAACTTGCGGGCAATCGCATTCGTTTCTCAGCCTGCGAGCAAACCAGTACGATCTCAGAACTACAGCAACAGCTCTACGAGCACACAAACTGGCGCCAATGCCGGCCCCCTGTAGTACGAGATCATGGTACTATGGCTTGGAGTGACACATCAAGATTCGGTGCCACATTACTGTACGCAAACTATGGCCTCCGAGACTAGAAGGACCGACCAATCTGAACAAGAGGACCTCAGAATATCGATGCGTCAACGTTCCAATGTCGACGAGTACACCGACGGCGAAGAGCACCAGATCCACTCACCTCCAACAAATTCGAGCCCCCGACTCGAACCACCCCCAGGAACCGGCGATTAGACGCAATTGCTGAGAATAGCCCCACTCCTACGCTCTCATCCTCGCGGGCACTCGCTCACTCGTGTCCCTCGCCGGAGCTCGATGATGCCAGAATCCAGAGCTCAGCGCAGCGGGAACTCAAATCGTTCAAATCCTCAACAGTAAAAGTAAAAAATAAAAAGACAGAGGGAGAGAAATCGAATTCGATCGATGAAAGCGAGGGCAGGCGCCGGGCGATTAACTTCAGTCTTTAACGTCTCGGGCAGAGGTGGAAACGAAATTCGCTAAGAGATGGCGAGAAATGACATGAACGCAGTGGATTTGAATCGCGAACTGCTAATTGCCTGCAGTCCGGCGGGAGAGAGGGAGGGAGAGGGGAAGACGAGGCTGAGAGGCTGAGAGAGGGAGAGGGAGAGGGACGGACAGAGGAGTTCAAGACTGGATTCAAATTTTCGCTGCTTCGGAGGCTCGAGCTTTCCCCCCTTACCCGCACGTCCTCATCGCACACGACGCCCCGCATTCCGTAGGTTTCGCCGCACTCTCAACGGTCTTTCGTTGACGGAAATGGGCCCACCCTGAACGGACGTCCCGTCAGCGACGGCTTGTGCAGCTAGAAATAGAAGCGATGGGGATCTCGCGACGACGACGGAAGTCCTCCACGAGTCGTGGAGCGGGGAAACCGAAGGGGTGTCACAAGGTTAGCCCCAATAGCACTCGGGAAATACATCCTAAGGAGCCCGACTCAAATGGAGTTTTCAAGAGTGACAAAATACCATACTTCACTTTCTTGTAGAATTTCGAAATACTCATGAAGCATGTCGATCTTCAAATTTTAACCTTACGATAGCCAATAAATGTTGTCAATTTCTATTTTTTGATATCCAGAGAAGAGTAGCGGTGGTCTACGAATAATTCCTATGATGATTCCAATACAATTCTGCCTAATCGAGGATACTCTTGGATGGTTATGTTTCATATTATTTTATACTCTAATTTAGTTAATAAACTCTTGGATGGCTACGTTAACTCCAGTTCGGTCCAGACTTTGGTAAACTATTCAACACTGTGATGTGAAGTCCATTGAAACGTATATATTCCAGGAAATCCAGATTGGTTAAAGTGAATATACTTCTTGACTTTAATCTGTACAGGAAGTCCAGATTGGTTCAAGTGTATATACTTCTTGACTTTAATCTTTACAGGAAATCCAGATTGGTTGAAGTGTATAAACTTCTTGACTTTCATCTTTACAGGAAATCCAGATTGGTTAAAGAGTATATACTTCTTGACTTTAATCTTTACGCAGGAATCATTAATCTTAAATGAAATCTACTGATCTTTATTTTTTTAATTCTGGAGACATATTTTGAATCCAATCTTATTCAAAATATATGTATTGTTATGGACTACAAAATACTTAAGCATATATTAATAATTCAATCCACACACCAAGTAATTTTAAATAGCCTACTATTTTTTCTTCTAAAATTATTCAATGATATCCTACATCTATGTATATTTACGATGTCAATTAAAAAAAATTTGCAGCTCTATGATAGAATAAAAGAACTATATTAAAATATATAAAAGGAATACCAAAATAGACAAGAAGCTACTTTCATTGCACAAAACTTGGAATAGCACCCCAACTGAAAAAATCTAGAAGTGAGAAAACTGAAAATATTGATTATAACTCAAGAGTAGTAAGAATTGGTGTTCACGAGTAACACTATCCCGAGACTCTTTATATATATACTGCTATAGCACTACTAAGAACTCCAAAGTTGAAAGGAGTCACGACCTACAAAGCTTGTTGAAAGTTGTCAATGACTTTTAAGTTGAAATGTTTGAAAGCTAGCACCACATCGCCTCCTAAGTTGGAAAGTTGTCACAGCCGCCTAAGTTAGAATGTCTGAAAGTTGGCACCGCACTGTCACATTTGTGACGAAGATCAATTTCAGTGTATATAATATTTTTGCTATCAGATTTATAACTAAAAGACTTCATGTTTTATGCTAAATAAAAATAAATCGAGCATGCATCCTTATATATTCTCTTTTTGATCTCCACTAGCTCAGTGTCTACATTTCATTGTTTCTAATTATTGATTCTTAAAATGTATTTGCTCTTAAATCGTAGCCATCACTTGCACCAAACAAAAAACTTTGACAATGTTAGGGCAATGCTCCACAGATACTCCTATAATAGTCAAGTTGTATGATGAAATCCTAACTATACATTTTTGTTCTTTTATTATCATTTTAGTTCTTGAAGGTGCAAAATGTTGAAAATCTTGTAGTAAAAATGTTAACATAATTTCTCTCTCCTAATCCATTCAAAGCTTTCAAATGATGCTAACATTTTAGATCCATATCTTGCTATACACCTATGGTGATGACTATTATAATGAATATATTTTTGTAATCTTTTAACTAATAAAATTTCATTTGGTAATTGTCTTGAACATTAGTTTTCATCTATTTCATCCATCAATTCATATAACATATATATGGATTATAATTTATGAGGAAATATTTCATGTGCATATAAGAGTTTGTTTCAACGAAAATATAAAAAAAAGTTCTTGACATATTTCAAGAACATTCTTTTATATGTTGAAGAATATGATGATAATATTTCAAGTATCATCATATTCTTCAACAAAAATATATATGTAAAATTATATACTTTCACACATGTTTTGTATATTTTTGATGACATACACATTATGACCCAACAAATTTTTTTAATGAACTATTATTTGTCTACATTATATTTTAAAATTTTGACATTTGATCAGTTTTTACATCTAAATTCATAATTTATAGAATTATTGAATATCAGCAAATAAAATATAAAACCAAAAAAATTACAGCGTTTTAAAAAAATTATGAAGCAAGTTCCTTTTGTAGAAATCAAAGATTTATACCCTTTTAGTCATCAATTATTGCATCTTATCACATGCCAACAAGAAAACTCCAATCATTAATTTGTATGCATAATTTCATTAATCATTGCTTGCTATCATGCAATTGATAAATCATTCTTGTTATTTCTACCATGATATAATTATAAATAAGATATATTATATAGCTTTTAAATAACCAAAAAAAGTGAGTAGACAAAATGCATTAGTGATAACTTGCAGCCATTAAATTTATCATCAACATATAGACACTTGAAAATAACAAAATCAGACGAAAATTCTATCAATCTATTAGCTTGAATTGAAATATGAATTTACAGGAAATTTTTAAACAAAATTTTATAATATTAAACAATACCTATACATATGAAAAGAAATATTTACTTGTATAGTACAATAATATTTCAGAACTAACGTGCAATCTATGATAATAGGAAAGACAGAAAAATGCTCATCATCAATCAGGTATAAATCATAATAATTTATTTTAATTACTTTCTTTTATTAATTGATCAAATAAGCATAACATTTAAAGAATTAATACTGAATTTACATGATTTATTTTTGATGTGTCAAATGCAAAAGCTTCATAAGACATTCTATACAGTAGATTAAGGTTGAAATGCATAAAATTATCAATACACATACATCAAACAAAATCAACTTCCAAAGAATGACAAATAACATTGAAGCTATGCTATGAACCACAAACTTTTGTAGACTTATTCAAGAATATAAAAAATTATTTAAAAATAGAATAATAGAATGATATATCAAAATTGCACATGATTCAAAATTTGCAAGTTAAATTTAAGAAAACGTCCAAATTGTATAATTCAAAAAATGAATAAATAAATGAATTGTTTCATGTAAGTAAATTATTATTTTTATCTTTCACAATTATTGGAAATTAAATGGTTTTCTCACATAAATATTAGTGAATAAATAAAGAATTATATAAATTACAATATTATATTTTATATGTAGATTATCATACAATTTAGAAAAGAAGTAATAATAAATTTTATGTTTGACAGCATATATTTTGCAAAAACACAGTTATTCATAGAAAAAATGTGTTGCTTTTACTATTATAAAAAAATTTGCAAGAAACAAAATTATTTGGTTGCAACAATTGGTTATTTGTGCACTTTTTTAAACGTTTAAAACGTTTTATTTTAGCATGATTATAAATTTTCATGCTAGTGGCTGTTTTATTTTTTTCTATTGTAAATTTAAGTAAAAAAATATGTTTATACTAAATATATATATAGTTTTAAATTATCTTGTAATAACTTAATCATCTTTCACATTTTAAAACTAAATGTTAAAACATCGATATTTTTTATTATACGTTTATTGACAGCTTGGACTTCATATGTATGTTTTAAAAAAATTTATATAAATTACACAACAAGAAATCATGAAGTCATTTAAATGATTATCTAAAATCTTATAACAGAAATTTACGAAAGAATATATTATGCAATCATCTATGCCTGATTTTACCTCAACTATATGGAAAACAAATATTTGAATCTAGAGTTTGTTTTTTTGATTATTATTAAATCTGTTCATACATATTGCAAATATTTTTATTTTTATAGAAAAAAATATAAGTTAAAAATATAAGATAATAGATTCTCACTAGATGATAACAAGTACACAATATTTTTTTATATCAATAACATTTGTGTTGTTATATGATTTTATAATCCAAAGAAAAACTGTAGGCTATATTATGAGGTTAATACCAAGAGTTTTTTTTTTTTACTTATTTATATTTTTAACTACTAGATTAATTGTTGTTGGCTTTAGATGAAAGCAACACAATCATGGTGATTTCATAAAATATAAAGTTCAGATTTGCATCAAATATGATTTACAACAATGAAGATATGTTCATTTAAAATGATCAGTAGCACAAACATATCATACAAAGATCATTGCATAAAGAATTTCATTACATTTAAAAGATTAAATTGAAAATTTAGTTAATGGATAAAAATAAAAATGTTTTTGAGATGAATGAAAACAATTGTATACTTTACAATATTATTATGAAATTATATATTAGAAAAAGAGTGTATCGGTTTTAATTCGAATTTATTTTTGGAAAGTATAGACTTTATTGTGATATAAATGTTGAAAATGAAAATGAACGTACCTTTTTCATTTTCATTAATCAGAGGTATAAAATATTAGAAGAGAATAATATTACAGTAGATTAGTTTGAAAATAAATGAATATTTTTATGTAGGTAGTGCGCTATTTGTTTTGATTGGAGAAAAATAAATTTACAATGCTTGAATAAAAATGACTAGTTTAAACATAAAACTTTCAGTATTTTGACGAAGTGGATATTGAGCATTTATCAAATCAGCATGAAATGATCCTAAGACTTGCAAAAGTACTTACGTTTGATAACACTTTCAAAATAACTTGCAATTGTTTTTGATTTGATAAGTCACATACCAACACATGATATCAATACAAAATAGAAAAGCTAGTGATCCGAATGTAAAATCCATGTTCATGTTTGTGTAAAACGACGAAATTTAATACCCTCCCAAATTTGCTTTTATATTACCTTACGAGTGGAAAGAATGAAGTGCAATGCTTGAAAATTGAGCACGATGCATCTGTTGTCAGGAACAACAGACCTGGAAGTGTCGTAGGCTGGAAAACAATGTCCATATATGGTATCAACAAACATAACTGGGTAACAGAAATGACACGTTTGTTTTTGACTTTGGCGTTTATCTATGTATGATGGGATCGAAGTCAAGAACAGGCACAGTTCGAAGCTTGGGTTAGACTAGTGTGCAGATTGTGATTTGCTCCTCTCGACACGCCAGCCAGCTTTCGCGATCCAACATGAGGCCGGCTACATAGGTTCCAGATGGAGGAGAAACACTCGAATCCAAGTCACATCAGGTCTGCTCATGACAGAGGGGAAGAAGAGTGTGCTCAGTTTAACATACGAGAACTCAAGAGTGCTGTAAAGATTGTGCCGAACGGATTCCATAGACAGATAAAGTTGTCAGTGATTTAGAGCAAAAAAATCCGTATTCTCTGTCACACCAGCAATTCTGCGCAACCTGTGAGAATTCTGCATGTACAAGCTTCCACCAGTATGTTTGTGAAGATGAAATCTGCAAAATATCGACTGCGAACGAGGTATAGATTTCAGATTGTTTCTAGCCTTGAGAACAGCTCGTGAGGCCATCTAGATTCTTCGAGTTTGGTGAAGAAGAGAAGCTGAGAGATCAGTGACGTTTAGCAATCAGAGCGGGACTAGGTGTGAATGAGTGTACGTGTTGATGATACAAATTCAAGACTTTCCACTCTACGAGCAATGAACAGACAAAAAGGATTCCAGGGAAACAGTCTTACGGCGGACATCGTCACGTGTGGGAGCAAGCTTGAGCAGGTGGGAGATGGTATTAGAACGCTTATCGATTATCTGCTGGAATTGCAAAACAAGTACAGATCCTCCTCTCGGCAATTATGCGCCGAGGACGAGGTCGACAAATTCGTGAAATTCCTGGACTACATCGCTGAAGATCGGCTTCCACTTCTGATGGAGAACCGCAATGCCATGAGCACTATAGACGCAGAACAGCTTGGACTCGGTACGATTTATGTACAATTTGTTATTGAGCTTGATTTTCGCTTTCGCCTTTACTTGAGCCGGATCCCAGATAACACTAATTGTAAACCTCATTCTTCGTCTCGTTTGCTTCTGCAGAGCCCTTGATAAGTAAATTGAAGGAGGCGGCCAATCGCAGAAAGACATGGAAACTGCCCCCGACCAAGAGGAAGAGGGTTCTCAAAACGTTCCAACAAGAACTCCGCAAGTTATTTTCGCTGACATTCACTCGCACGATGATCCTTGTGAGTCACCTTACTTCACCTGCGCAAGTGCGATCACTAGTTTAGTGAAATTGCTGGCTAGAACAAAGTGAACTTCAAACCGCACCGACGCCGCTTTAGCCCTATTTTTTCTCAGCGTCCATCATCTTCCCTTGATTCTTTCTAGTTTACTACGGCCACTTCCGCGGCGTTTGTTGAGGGTCCTAAACTTTGGGCTTTCTACTTACATCAGATCAAAGTATCGTTCCAAGGTCCCAGTTCGTTGCCTGTACTATATTCAGTGTATCATATCCTCCAGCACTGCCAGTGACTTGGATTTTACATTCCTTGCACTGAGATTTGTACAGTGTTATTCAAGGAGCACACACTGGTTTCCCCTAAGTTCACCCAACCTTGCCAAAGAGCCTTGCCAAAGAGTGGCAAGGCTCGAGGTACGAAATATCAAACTGATGGGCCAAAAACGCTATAATTGTGCAGAGGGAGCAATGCAACGACTGGGATGTACATAAGAGGCTGGCTGGTAAGACAAAAACTCAAACTTTTTTTTTTATAATTGATTAGCTGATCGAGTACGCCCCGATTGTCTTCTCTAGCTTCAAAAGTTTGATTTGTCCTCGGGCACATGAATTAGCCTTAACTTGTCCACTATGCAAGTTATTTCATCGGGCAATTTTTGTTTTTGTTTGTTGGTGAAAGCGAATCTGATGGATTTTATTCGTCGTTGTGTAACCAATGCAATGTCCTGGACATCTTGAGGTTTTTGATGTCCGGTACTCTTGTTCTAAATCGCCATTTGGTCTGCTACTGGGATTCAGTCTTAAAGCAAGCTAGTTATAGCCTAGCTTTACACTCACGTGTGTTTTGTGCTGAAGTTGACGGTCAATGGCCCAGAAATCACTCTACGATCGTAGACTGTGACATATCAGCCTCTACATTCTTCAATTTCAGTAATTTTTTTCTACCTTTACCGTTCTCTCACTAAAACTGTTGTCTGGAATCGCGAAAGCAGAGAAGTATTTTCACTTTGATTGTTGGGGAAGTCATGCAGACAAGGAAGTAGAAGACAAACGGCGCCAGCTGAAGGATGAGTTTCTCGATCCCGTGACCGGAGAGCTCATGTGCGATCCGGTGAAGGGGAGCGATGGCTTCACGTACGACAGATGGACATTCATCGACGATAACCTGACTCGAAGTCACTTCAATCGAACCAGCGACGCGCCCTTGAGCATTGCGTGCGATGACGTGAACGTCCGATCTCGACTGTTTGAAAAGTATCAGAACTCGGGCGTAGAGGAGAGGTTTCGAGACCGCCGTCGCCAGTTTCGGGAGCACGCTATCATGCTTGCCAAACACGGAGGCCCATACCGCGACTCCGAGGTGCTAAAGATGCTCGATCATGTGCTCCTGTGGGACTTCGACGACGCCGAATGCCGGCGACTGCGAGACGCCAGAGTCGAGCGACTCCGGCTGCGAAGACGCCAGAGCGTCACAACCATCTATCCGAGAGATCCCTGGACTGATGCAGCTTCGATGGCCATTCCACTTCCATCTCGGCCCATTCACAGATGGTTGCAGCTCATGCTGCGCAGACTCCGGTCCGCTGGCTCGCTGCTCTATAGCAACTTGTGCGAACCGATCTCTCAGTTGTTTGGGACGACTCTCCCGTCCGCCGCCTTGGACCTCCTTCGCAGCTGGAGGGCAATCCCGTCCGCTTGCTTGGTCATCCTCCGCGACGAGTGCATCCCGACCTGTCAACGATTTTGGAGGACACTCCAGTCCGCTGGCTCGACGCTCTTTCACAGATTCTGCTTACCGATCCATCATCGTTCTTACAGATTGTATCAATCGTTGGTCTCACTTTAGACCTGGCATGACCGTAAGGTACTCGCGATTCAACTGATTGCCCAAGCAGACGCCATCCGATCTTCTGTGGCTCTCTTACCTATCTGATCGATCTCTTCGTCCGTCACATACTGATCGGTGTACTCTTCTGTCCCGTCCCATGACCGTTTCACCGATTAACTCTACGGGAAGTGTACATTGGACTCAAAACGAACATTTGTTCCTGTACATTGTACTCTGATTATCGTACGTCTAATCTGTAAAGAAGCTGATGATCGCAATTGCAAGAGCTCTAGAAGGAATAAGAAAACTTGTTCTACCACCAATGATCTTGAGCATGAAATGCAAGGTAAACAGTTTTGTCCCTCTGTATTCAAGTCCACTGAAAGCCTCACTTCCCGATCGAAATCGATCCGTATTTCGTAAATACGCATGTCCGTGTTGCAAACATTTGCTTTGCTGGAAAATGATTAAAGCATCTTCGGTTGCGATAGGCGGCGGTTTAATGTCAATTTTCTACGAGCTGGCTGCCCAAATGCACCTAAATTGTTGAAATCCAAGACCGCTGAGTGGACTCGATCAGAAGAACTTGTGAATTCTGAGTCTGCACACACGGTCAACTCCACGTACATCGGTACAGTCTAGTGGACTGTACCAAAATATGACGATAATACGATAATAGAAAATAAGTAGACTGAGTCTACATATTTTCTCTTGTTTTCTGGCGGGTTGAAAAGACATTTGAGTGGTTTCATGTTGAGTAGAATCTTCGGTAACTTTCCCCAGGAGTGGATACTCTCATTAGTGTGTCAACTTCGTGCACTCCAAATTCATCCTTGGCGGCGTCTCAACTGATTCATATTTTAAAATACCTTTCGTGACAAATGCTAGTGTGTATTGTAAGCTTATGCAGAGCCTGAGGTAGGGGTAAAGACCACACTTGAAGTTCACCTCAACTTCCCAAAGGACGGTTCTCCTTTCATTCATTAGGTCTTCATATCATGGAGCCTCTGAACGGCCCCTTGTTTTTCATATCGTCTGCAAAACGGGTCAAAGCCTTTGAAGGGAATCTATACAACCCAAGCACTGTCTTCCATACATTTTGCATCAGCAAACACTGACTGTTCGTGCTGGGGATTGATTCTTTTTTGTCAATGCACAACTCTCGCGTGAAGATATTTACATAAGTAGCAGCCCGCCAAGGAATGAAATGAACATCCTGAAAGGACCTACGGATCGACTGGATTGGCGAAAAAACTCAGAGCTGTCGTTGGAGGCGAGGTATACTTCTAAGTTTGAGGTGCTCGTGGACACTACAGTCTTCGCCCCTGATGTTTAAGGCCCTCCTGCAAACGGTCTAGATTTATAAATCTATTGTATCCGTATGAGTTCTCGACAGGGATTCTCCTGAGAGCATAAAGCAGAGTAAGTAGTTGGCGAAAGTCCGGAGATCCCCTGGGAAGCTCTAACGCCTTCTTTCTCGTACCACTCGAGCCCGCCTTTGATCCAAGCCACTTCAGCCGTATCCGATCAGATCAATAAAAGTACAAAATTACCATCGTGAAAGCTAATCCTCAAACCTTCCCTCTCGAGCTCGACGTCGGTTGAAGAAAAGGCGGTCCTCATCGATTCGTCCCATGCACATCATACAACACAGGAGCACACAAGCACAACACATAGCATAGAAGCACCCGCCGTCGCCGAGCCCTGCGAAGGGCCTAACAGGAGGGAAGGGTGGGCTGGGCTCAGGGAGGATACCTCGCTCTTCAGTTTGTCTGCGAAAGCTCGACAAACTCTCAAGGCTCTCATCGTCGTCATCCCCAGACAGAGAGTTGCGGATCATGTCGGGGTCGATCGGACGGATAGAGTGCTCGGGAAAAAGCCTGGAAGGATGCGACCTACCCACTATGTAAAGTCGGAGTTTCTGGCACTCGTGATCCTCAGGATCCCACTCGAGGACGTGGTTTAGCATCTTGAGCACCTCGGACTCATCGTGATTCTCCTCATTCGCTAGCTCGATCGCCTGCTGTCTGTACGAGCGACGACGCTCGTGGAACAGGTCCACCGCACCCGAGCTCCCGTACTTCTCGAATAGGCTCGACCGGACGTTGAGATCGTCGCAGGCGATGAAGAAGGGCTTGTTTCTGCGCTGATCGAACGGGCTCTGAGTCATGTCGTGGTCTATGATGGTCCATCGGTCGTATGTGTGCCCGTCGCTGCCCTTCACGGGATCGCACATAAGCTCGTACGTTATCGGGTCGTAGTAATCCTCGTCCTCGTCCTCGTCCTCGTCCTCTTCATCTTCCTCGATCAGCCTTCCTTCTTTGCCTGACCCAATTCGAATCACAATACGGACACTGTCAACATCTGCCCGTCACATCATCGTCACATCAGTGGCCTGTCCCATTCAGCTCATGCAATGTGGCTGGAGTGACTGGTATGGTCAGATGATTTCGTGTCTCGTATTAATACATCCCGTGCTATGATTTCAAAGACATTAAACACTTGAACTGAAAGGTGGAATAAATTCAGTGTTGTGCGAAGAAGCAGAGTCTCAACTAAACTGGGTCGGCAAAAAGTTGGTCGAAGAAACACTACAGAAACACTGGAATGTTCTGCCTCCTCGGATTAGGGAAGTTCTTTTTCAATATCAGCTTATTCAAGTCCCGCAAAGCCTGAGACAAGCTCAATACTTGGACGCCAGTAGTCAGCATTGTTCTTTTACTCTGCTCTCCAGTCTTCGTCGTGTGAATCTCAATTTCAATTTGACGTGCAACTTTATCGTAATTTGCAAAATAAATGTCGCTATTTTGTTTCACCTGTGCAGCACACATTACATACTAGATTACAGTAGTGATTTAAGAAGATTCTGAGGACTAATTGACTTTCGGTTGGACGCCCTTGAAGCTCGAAACCGAAACAGGACCTGTTGTTCAGACCAAAGGTGGAACATATTACATCTTACCTTCTTTTGTTTCTTTGGCTGATGCAGCAAATATTTTCACCAAGGGGCTGTTTAAACTTGCCCAGTGTTCCTCCTGATCCAGCAAGTTTGAAGTTAGAATAGATTAAATTGATCGAATAAGATCCAGTTCCGCCTAAGGAGCTTAGATGAAGCAATCCAACGCTGGAATCGTTCTTCCTTGCATGCAAAGATTTAACCGAGCTTACTGCGATTGTGATTGTAACTTCAAAGGTTTACAAAAGCTATGGCTTCAACCCTCGTGGTGGCGGTGGTGGAGGATTCTCTTCATCTGTCAATCATTATCAACGGATCTCTCTGCGTGCTATGCTGACAATGTTGAGATGGGCAACTGAGGGGATATATTAAAGGAAGACACTGATCGCGACCTCGGCAGAAAGAACAATTCATGGCAATGAAACGACAGCTTTGGCGAAACTTACATCAAAGGTCGCCGAGAACGAGCAGTCAACCTCTTGTCGAAGTGATGCGAGTTCATGTTTTATCACGCGCAAGTCGGGAAAACCCGACCCGTACTTCGAGATAGACTGAACATAGTCGATAGCTTTATTCAGCTTCCCGACGAGGCGGTCTGCAGTTACAGAGAACGGAAGGATCAAAACTTCGGCACGGGCAATCAATAGACACGAAGATGCACACGCTCAAGCACTTCAACAAGGGATCAACGTCACGTCAGAAGACAAGACCACCCTCACAGTCCGGAAGGAATTTTGGCAAACAGCATCCACAACGCTGTTCTTCGCACTTCAGCTCAATCGACATCTGTCCTGAAAACGAGAATGTGACCTTGACAATCTGAAGCTCCATCAAACTAGACTGGTGACTGAATGAGGTCCTTCTAAACGGATAGAAATTGCCGCGCTGAAGTGTTTCCGGAACTTACCAGTTGAAGGTGCCTCTCCAGATTCTGTGGGTTGCAGCTCATCTGCTAAAAGCCGAAGAATTTCTTTCAAAGCAATTTGGAAGTGATTCACTTCTTCCTCTACAATTTGACTCGCTTGCGAAGCAGACGTAGATCGGAATTGCGTCAGCGAGTCGATGAGCTTTCTCACAGCTGACTCTACATTCCCAATCGCAAGTGCATCGATATCATACATGGTACAGGCCTGCCCTCCTTGTCAAGAAAAGGTCAAAATTACGTAAGGAGCTTCCCGCAATCTAGGATCATAAAGTTCCCCAAACAAGTATAGTAGCAATTGTTGATGAAGAGCCGAAAACCAGACCCACTATCTTGGAAATTCTAGCCTGCATCCGCTGCTGAAACGCAGCGAAGCAACATGCTCTGGATCTCCTCCAATCAAGTGATCAGCTTCTTCGGTAGTGTACTCGGCCTGGATGTTTATTCATAAGCAGCTGTCGCTCGGACTTTGTATATAAACCGAACACATGGTTCCGACTCAGGGGATGAAGTGGAGAAAGGTTTAGCCACCAATGCTACTGGCAGGCGAGGAAACGTGTATGGATTGACTTGATTGTCGTGGAAGCTATATGCATATGTGCAATTGGTTCTCCATGCCAGCAATGTATGTCCTTAACCCTTCAGTAGTGAATCGAGAGAAGAAGAAGAAGCAGATGTATTAGAAAGTGTAGAAATCAAATGTGGATAGACCTGTCTAAGTCCCAGCCAAAACCGAGCGTGAATGTTGGGTTTGAAGCAATTTCAAAGTGGATCTGAATTCGGGATTGTGGAGATCTAGATGGTGGATGATGCGGGCGACAGTTCTGAGGTCATTGTCTGGTCGATGGTCCTCTCACTGCAACTCACACGAGGGTTCATTGGGCTCGAACTATGTCAGCGACCGAACCCACCATCTGCGACAGCTCTACAGGACGATTGACCCATCCACACTCTAAATCTTCAGTGTGAATGGATTCAACAGCTGCGAACACATGGAACAAACGGGCCGCGGGACCGACCATTTGCTCTCCCTCACGCAACATTCGATGTTCCTCCTTTCTGGTCCCAGCCTACTGTCTTCGGAAATGTAATGACAAGAAATAAATCTTCATCATCTTCATCATCTTCATCTTCATCCTTAAGCCTCCAATAAATCCTCATTCTCCAAAAATCAAATCTCTTCTGTAAGTCCAAAGGTATATAGAACATTCTATCATTGAGATTTTAAATCTTGCTTTCGACTAGCAAATTCTGTTTGATTTGGATCTAAGTGCTGTTCGTGCATGAGTTTCATAGCAGAAAGAAGTTTATTGGTCTTTGTAACATACTAGACAATACTTTTAAGCCTCCAAAATTTGTATTTTTCAACCTGATTCTAGAAATAATCATACATGAGAAAGATAGTGAAGTAGGCATTTCCTTTTTTGATAAAAAAGATGATGTTGGATGTACCTCATAATTTAAAAAAATTGTTTATTTAGTATTCATTTGGAGTAAAGCTAAGATATGTTGACCGTCTAGACTAATTTTTTTTATATCTTAAACAAGAATCTAAAGATATACATCAGCACATGTTTATTTAGTAATAAATTAATATAGTCTATAAAGGTAAACCTGTTTTTTGAATAATGTGTTATTTCTTGTAGTCTTTATCGTATGCTTTTGTGAAGCTCTCACAATTTTATTGAAGTCTACCATCACCGACCTTATTGTGCACCACTGTCATACATTTTCAAAATTATATTGCATGAAGACATGAAATGTCAGTTTCATTCAGTAAGTATGATGTTTTTCATGCATAAAAACATCAGAAATTTACTCTTTACATTAACTATCTTAAGTTGAAAAAAATAATTTTATATTATCAAAAACAAGAAAACATATTAAGACGTTAGGATACACTATAAACTAGAATTTATTCAAAATCAGAAGGGTTATATGAATAAGTAATTTATCTAAAAATACTATTTTTAGTAATAATCATAGCTCTAAGGAATACAAACTTATCACAAAAAATTCCACATTTCAAATGTACAATGACAAACCGTTGTTTCATTTTATACATTCATATCATTGATAAATTTATATGTAATGTTTGATGAAGTTTTGTTATCTATAACTTCTTAGTTTGATGTTTATATTAACCAACCTGAAATAACAATAAACCAAATCTTCCCTTGCTGAGCATCTTTCTTCTGCTCCAAATTATTTTTTGACATTAAGATGAATAATTTTCTTTAACCAAAAAAAATCGATAATTTTATAATATTAAATTGTTTTTAATATGTAATTCATGAATTTGATGGATTTAAGAATTTTTTAGCTTTTTGGAATTTTTTCAATAAAAATAAAGTAATTTAAAAAAATTATATAGAATTATAATTATATGTATCTTCGAAAATACAACATTTTGTGTAAAATATATAAATACATTATTAATAAATATAAAATATATTCAATGTAAAAATTAAATTTTTTTATCAAATAAAGAATAATAAAAATATTTTTGAACAAAATATTTAAAAAAACACGTTATCCAAATAAATCAAAAATATTGTATTTTAAGGGAAATTTTATTACTCTGGAGTTAAAATTCAAACTATATGGATGATAGATAATTAATGTGATTGTAGTTTTGCTTGTATAAATATTTTCAAAATGAAGTAAATAATTAAAAATATATTCATCAATTTGTATGCTTTGCTTAATCGATGAATGAAATGCCCATAATTATCGCATGTATACAAATTTACGACATTTGCTATTAACTAACACACCAAATAATATACCGAATCCAACAAACGTCATATCATGTAACGAGAGTGGAAAATATATTTATCTTTTGAAATATGACAATCAAACTCTTAAGATGATCATATCTTGGTATTGATCTTACTTGAATAAATTTTAGTTTTTATTAATTTAACATCTACAAATTTTATAATATTCATTTTCAGAATTTATTTCACTTCTTTTATGTTAATGATGGACTTGAAACCGTAGATATTATGATTGACTATCATGAAATAGAACGAGTTTCAATATCGATGAGTTATTTGCAATAGGAATATATAATGTTAGTATTAACTTAAAGCTGAGGTTAATGGAGTTAGATAAACACAGCTGAGGGTAAGATTTAGGGAATATTCTCCTTACTATATATAAGAGTATGATACACAACTCACATATGATAGTTTGTAAGTTTCAGTAGAATCTTTTTGCTTTTGTGGACGTAAATCTCACAATGACGAATAACGTATTTTCCCGTTCGGCGAGATGTTTGTCCCTTGTGTAATTCTATATGTGTGAACATCTCATGCTTGTTAACACGTACATGACTTAACTAAAAATTACATTATCTGTTATCAAGTCATTCAAACTAATTTTTTATACTAATTGATTCATATTCCACAATATTGTTAGACCAATTTTTTTTATATAAAATAATAATATTCCATTGTCAAACTTGAAATATTAATATTTTTCTTTTCATAAGTTAGGAATATAAAATATGTATTCTTAAATTTCGAATAATTCTTTATTAAATTTTTGAATGCCAATGATTAATCAATTTTTTTAAATTTTAAGAAATCTAAGGTTGAATTTCTTGATTTATTATTGTGAACTAGTCATATCTATCCAATTTCCAATTCAAATAAATTTTGATGAAAGATATTAAACTTCATTTTGTAGTCAGTATTCTTTTTGTTTAAAGTTATGCTTTTCTTTATATTAAAATTATTTTCAACTTTTACATATTTTTTATGGCTAGATTGGATTAACAAAAAATTAACAGTATTATTTAGATGTATTTGTGCATATTACTCCAACACTTTGATGTTCGTTCATTTAACATTTTTTGCACAATATTTTTAAATTTCAGAAATTTAAATTTAAATTTTGACAACTATCACATTTATATTATCATGATGATCTTATACAATGTATATAATATTATCTTTGATTTTTTCCATTAAACTTGTCAAAATTACATGTTGATATACATCAAAAATACATAAAATCCATCCCTACATTAGTTAATTTTGTTGTAGCTAATCATAAGTTCTGTTTGATATACTATTTTTAGTTTACAATTAAACTTCATCACATGTTTCACTTATTTCCATAATGTATTTAAGAAAATTCATTCAATTACATTTATGCATGTGTTGAATTAAAATCAGGATTTAATAACTTCATTTGTATGGATCAAATTTATATGAAAAAAACCTATGTAATAATATGAGTTTGAAATTTAAGAAGTCATTATTTCATTAGATTTGAGGCATTACTTACAAATAATAAATTAATTTTTTTGCACAATGAAACATAATATTTTACAACATAGAGATCCTTGAAAATCATTCATTTCATTGTAATGATTATATCATATATATATACATATATATATATATATATATATATATATCGCGTATGAAATTTTTATAGATTAAATTTGTTGTAATTAAATAATAAAAATGTTTATTCATTTTTTATTTACACAGATTTTTTTTTTCAGTTGTTGTGGAGAAATTATCATTTGATTTGTAATCCTAGTCAACCCATTGAATACATGACTTAACGAGCACAATTAATGCAAATGAGATATTTCAAATTTATTTAATATATATTATTTTAATACAAGAGAGGTTTTGTTATAAAATAATGTATATTTTATTATTTATTAATATTTTTATTAATAATTTTAAATATAATAATAATACATTTTTATAATTAAAAATTATAATTATTTAAATGAAAAATCTGTAAGGATATTTTCAACAATGAATTTATTTATTTTTTAAGTTTTCTTATGAGTAAAAAATATTTTCATATTCTCAGGTACTCAAATTCACACATTAAACCTGTTACATGGATCAAAATTATTGAATGAATGCAACTTTTATAAATCAATTAAAAAAAGTCCAATTTGAAGTCATCTTGGAGTGAATTTTAGGAATAAACAATGCTAAAAATGTGTAGTGTTGTTGTTCATTTGATATGATAAAATTTGAAATTTTAATAGTAATGGATACAAGAAGTGTTGGCAACATTGTGATATTTTTGTATCATTCATTACATGATTTTAGCAAGATGTGAGTGTTTTGTACAACATTTTTTTGTCAAAATTTTGAAAGTACGCTGATTAGATTCATATATTTCTGAAAGTACACAACAAATAACAATAAAAAAGAAAAAAAATCTTCTATATTTTCACAACCGTTTCATAGAAATAAATTACTTTAGTCAAAGTGCTTATATTTCTTGCAGTCATCCAGCTCTGTATAAATCAATTTCATCCAGTTTTTGTTTTCATTCACCATTAATATTGTAAATATCAATTAAATTATAGCGTTTAGTGTCACTGTTTTAGACTATTACTGTTTATGTCTTACTTCGTCATGCTTAAGATTTATCACCTGAAAAAAAGTCATAGTTTTTCCAATTTCTGAAGTGTGGCAAGAAACTTTGTCATTTGTCATTTACGTACAATACAAGAGGTCGGTCACATTACCTTCAGGTTGGTGAGTGTAGTTATGCTAAAAATGGCCATATGGCTTACTAGATTTAAGTTACAACACCTTGAAAGTAACCTCTCTCTCGTTGACCTCATGTAGGATCTACATTCATCTTGGGACTCTACAAGCACAAATGGGCTAGAATATCCCTCTCCAAGGCTTAAGTAAATGATTAATAATTACTGATTTTGCAATCAAACCTAAAACTAGCATTAGGGACGGTTACCTTGGGAGGCCAAGTTTTACAGCGTCCAAACAGCTCCATGACTTCCGTCTGCGTGAAAAGCGCATTTGCACTCAAAAGGCTCCCGAGGTCACTACTTCGAGAGAAACGTTGTATTGTATGCCGCTGCAATTCATTCAGCTGTTCTCTTTCGAAAATAATATTCAGGCTTGCGCTTCTGGAGGAAAACCGAAATAACGCACTTACAAATAAAATACAATACAATGATGGTATATGTATATATTTATATTATTAAATATTCAGCATAAAGTCTATTCGAATATAAATAAAATTGCTGAGATTGTTGTGCCCGAATCATCAAATATTGCTAATCGGATCCGCTTGATCGGTTAAAGAATTTCACTCTGAACATGCCCAAAAGAGTCTCAAGATTTACTCCTCACCTCGTTTGGGCCTGCATATGTGCCAATTTGCAAGGTTTGAAAACCCAAAATCGAAAAAAAATATTTATGGAGTAAGGATTCGCCATCGTTTTTTACTTCGAAAAGATTTTGATTCACAAGCTAGAACTTCTCTAGGTCTTTTGAATGGATTCAATTAGAACTAAACGTGATGATATGGATGGTTAACGTAACGGCAACAGGGAAACACAGTTTCCCCCTGAAAAACCGTCGTCGACAAGTAATCACGCTAGCATCTTCCGATTATTCCATTCTTTAGCTGCTTCCTTAATATGTGCCATCAAAAGTGCGAAAGTAAGATAAAAAATGTCCTCTTAGACAATCTTACCCATCAGAACTGCTTACAGAAGGCAATCGTGTTCAACTTGTCTTGGCCTCCTGTGTACAAGAGTCATTTTACAACACATTGTAAGCATGGAAGATTGGACGTAACGCCAGTGTAAGCGACCCCGTCCTTGCTTTCTAATATAATATATTTGCTTGTTCTTCGCAACTCGTACCTACCGGCCGGAGCATGTACAGGACCATCCCTATTCTCGAATACTGTAACTCTCACTTTCCGTATAGCATCCATACTCGCACATTGTGTACTTCTTTTCCACCCATCTTTACTTACTTCTCCACATGTTATTTTCTGAAAGAATCAAACACCTTAGACAGATTTCAAGTTACAGTCAAATTGTTTATTTTCTGAGCCTCTAAACTTACTGGCATCTACCTTTGATAGTAGGCCTTAGAACAAATATGAATAAAAATGAAGTCTCAAGTACGTACTTGACGGGCGCATTCCACTGAGATAATGCCTTTAGAAAGTTATCTGACTGACATACCAAGTCTGCATCAATTATTGGCTCATTTTTTCTGATATTGATCTTGTAACTCCATATAAGTTTCTAAACCGGCTACTGCAATATAAGTGTGTCTTTTCAGAGAATAAAACAAATTGCTTCATTTCCCTTGCATACCTAACTAATATAAATTTTAGCAGGAGTAGGATGTCGTGGGGAATATCTCCCACGACCATTGGCTTGTGTCCCGAAAGGTAAAGTACATTACAAATTTTAACTAAAACGTTGAATAGTATAACAAATAGTATGGAAAGATACCATCAAGTCAGCTAGGGATGAAACCGAGGGGTAGTATGGGCAAGCATCAATCACATCACAATGAGAAAAAAGGTTTATTCACAACTAAGAATTTTGGACTATATAGATTAGATGGTGTATATGTTTTTAGGTTAAGAATTCATTAAATGGCTTGTTCTCTCATCGATACGAAAAATAAATATAAAATGATAAAAATACGAAAAATGTCCACATGTCGATTACAATATTTCCAAAAATAAGTGACATAGAAATAATATGTAGTACAACTACGTGTTCAATCATTCCCATCCATACTAGCCATCACAAACTCAAATGAAAACAAGTCAAAATAAGAAACAAACGGTAAATCTTTTGGACCAAGGTAAGAATTTTTTTTGGAGATTTTTTCGGTGAAACTATAAATGGTTTCTGTAGTCCAATGCATATAGTAAGAAGAAATTTTGGATGAGAAAATATATTAGAAAATTATATCAGAAGAATGAGAACTTATGAGTGGAAGAATATTACACATGACAGAGGAAGAGAGACGGTTGGCAGCCGAGAGGAGAGGAAGGCGGAGCACCGCTATCACAACCACCGGCTCTCGTTCGCTGTCAGCTGCAGCTTGAAGCTGTGGAACTTACCCATGTGAACACTTTAACCGGAAGCGACCCCAGGGAGGCCGGTAAAGGCGCGAGTTAACCGCGGCGAGGGGTCCACAGTAAAGTGAATCAACGAGAGAGAGTGGCCGACTGATGACGAAGAGCTTCGAAGAAAGAGGAGGGAGGACCCCCAGACACAGAAGAAGACTAGAGTGAGTGCCGAGCTTCTCAAATCTCTTCGGCGAGGCCAGAATTGATGCGCTGCGTTTCTCTGCTCTCTCTATCCGCCTCTCTTTGTTCGTCTCGTTATTTTTCCCATTCCGCCTCAGGTCGGAGGGGACGCGATCAAGATGGGGAACAACGTCGTGTTGGCTGAGAGCGCCGCCGCCGTATACGAGGAACCGGACACCGTGATCGAACAGGTATGTGTTGATTGCTCGCGTGATGTTTTGTGCGATGGGTTTAGATTGAAGGAAGGATGCCGAAGGATCTGCTCACTCCCCGTTCGGAGTGGCTGGTAGTTCGAGAAGTGGATTCAGGGAACCGGTTTTGATATTGGTCGGATCGTTTTTTGTTGCTTTGGTGAATGGAAACCTGCTAGTCTCGTGACAATTCACCTGTTCAGGTTCCGGAAGCTTAGGGTTAGGGTCAGGGTACAAGCAAATGTAGGAATTAGGAGTAGATTTGATATGATGGTCGGAATTTTACATCTGGGTCAGGATGATGATCATGTAAGTGTAGACGGCGGGCAAAGATCGTCCAGGTGCGGGGAAGATGCTTGCATCTCTTCTGGTCTCGATTTTGAGGGTATTGAGCAGAGATGATACGGACTCTACTCCATCTAGAACACGCCTTTGCATGTTGAATCAAGCAAAATCAGAAGTACAGTCTCTCCAGGGTCACTTAAATTTATTCTCTTGGTGCTTGAGGTTATTAAGGCTTTTCCCCCTTTGATGAAGCAACTCTAAGGGAGGCTGGTTCGGTGCATTGAGTGGGAAAATGACTTTGAGCTCTGATTTGTTTGATCATGAGAGTCTGGGTTTTTCGAATAGGTGTGTATGCCTATTGGCGGTAGAGAGAAGCAGACACGTGCCTCTTTGGGTTTGAGGCATGACTGGATGACGTAGAGACCGGGGAATGATGGTCTGGTTAATTTTGGATCCGCGAAGTTTCTCGCGCGCTTGATCAAGAGTTTAATCTGATGGCGAAGCTGAAACGAACCAGACCTCGTGGCGAAGGGAAGGGACATCTATGGCTTGAAGGGGTTGCTTTCAGAGTGACTGCTTTCATAGTGTGGCTGTTGCTCTCGGCAGGGTCTGTGGAGAATGTAGATTTTGCACAGAAAACTCGCCCGCCTCACGGACCGGGAGTGAAAGCAGAATTCAGCTTTGATACCCCCTTTCAACCTGGCCAGCACTAGCAGTTGTTAACCAAGAAGGCTACACCAGTCAAGAGGTGTATTGTTGGTATATCCGAAGATGGCGATTCGAGGCAGTCAGCTTTTGGATATGTGGAGATGGGTGGGGCTCATGCCGTACTCTGAGAGCCCAAATAGAGAGAATTAGACAGTACTAACGATTAAATCAACACAGCACTAACCATGAAATCATCAAAGCTTGCTCATTATGTTCCCATCTAGTACGTTTTGCCTTCATTTCTCCTTCATCTTAAAGGATCTTTGTTCATCGTAACAGGACACCGAGCCTGAGGATACTGAGCAGAAGGAACTAGTGGAGGAGGTGGAGGAAGAAGAGATCGAGGCAAAGAAAGATGAAGATGAAGAACCGAAATTGAAAGTCACGGTAATTTTTTTCAGTCGCAGCTGGTTCACCCGTTTCACGTACTCACTCCTTACGTGTCCACTGTCTTTTAGAGTGCGGTTGGCACTCTCTAGGAATCGGATCCGTTCTTATCCGCAAATCTGAGTTTTCGAAATAATCTAAAGATTCCAGTTGCGTTTCAAAGTTGCATGGGTTGTTGTTCCTACCAGTTTGGCGCCTGCCAGCTTGTAGTTCTGCTGTCTCTGCCAGTTTGATTGACTTCTTGGCGGGTTTCTTATCAGGTTGACGATGTAAAGACGGCACCCATGGACTACCGTTTCCCCACCACCAATCAAGCAAAGCACTGTTACACTCGTTACAACGAATATCACAAGTACTGGTTTTTCTTACTTGCTGTGTTCCGGTCATACCGCTCATCGCTAGGCATGCTGATTAGTTCATTATAGAATCAATATTAACATTCTATGTGTCTTATATATCTTGTGTCCCAGATGTATTGCTGAGAAGGGAGAGGATGCAAGTGAATGCACGAAGTACGCTAAATACTACCGATCTCTGTGCCCTGGCGAATGGGTGAGTCTAACAATTATATATGGGAGTATCTTACATGCTTTGGACATGATTTGTAGCGCGTTTCTCGTTACTCTCGTTTCTCGTTACGTTTCGTTTATATTGGATTCTTGACAAGGCTCCGCATGCTTATTGTAATTCTTCAAATTTGACTTGGTGGTTCGTGTTTGTCGTGATTGTTTGCAGGTTGAGAAGTGGAATGAGCAAAGAGAAGCGGGAACGTATGCTGGACGTTACTAGGGGAAGAGGCAATGCGGTATTGCAGCAGGGCAAGTAGTCTGTTGCATAGGTGTCTCGTCGTCCTTAACACCTGCCAATTGAGAGTTTGTGCACCAGTTTTCCATACCAGGAGCAGGGCAGCAAAATGCTGTCCTAAGTGTAAAGATCAAAATATTTTTTCCAGAGACTCGATGGTAAAAGATTGCCATGTCACTGAAGACTGTCAGACATCAAAGCTTTGAATGTGAAGCTTTTGGGTGGCATAGTATATAATGCTGGCTGACATCTTCGTTGAGAAAAGCTTACAAACGTTCTGAGGAAGGAGAAGCTGTCACGGTATGTCCAAGCTCGTGTCATGTTGTTGTTGGTCTGTGTTGTTATAATTTATCAGTAGAGCTTCTTCAAGTCGTCTCTATTGTAGTTTTGTCAGGGCTCAGATGTCCTCTCGCAGTGTAGGGGAGTCTTTCTCAATTTTTGATTCAACCTGGTGTAATACCATATTGCCGGTCAGAATGGAGGACATCACTTTTAGCCTTAAACATACGGCCGTCCAATTGAATAATATAGCATTATTTAATGCTCGTTGAGATAAGCGAAGCGAAAACTCAATTTTTTTTTTTTTTCTTCATGACTGGTCGAGGAATTGCTTCTTACTGCAATCGGCACTCATCCGGCCAGCAGTATGTGAGGGCGAAGAGTATCATCTTACTGTTTCAATGGGGTGATAGAGTCTAGTCCTTCGAATTGTCAAGCAAGTACCGTTATGTAAGTAGGGGGCAACGAGTTTCAGTACTCTATGCCGGAGCTGCTACGTCAAATGCCGTTCGTCGCGAATATGAACTATGAACTGGCTTTGACGTTTCTATGGCTTCTGTATGGATCGTCAATGATCTGATGTGAAGTGAAATAATGTGAGATTGAAATCTAGCACATTTTCGCGTGTAGACGAACATGACGCAAGCCATATAAGAGCTTGTTTCATGTTCACACGTCCATGTCACATTAAGATGGAAATGTGACGTCGCTAAGCAGAGCTCTTACATCATTCGTACGAATTTTCTGGTAGAGGTACAAGTAAACATCTGCGAACACGTGTACTCAAGTTAGATCGAAGGCAACGCACAAGCTCCTTCTCTTGTTCTCGTATCCCAGTTGACGTGAATTCACGACGTAGTGAAAACATAACAGGTTGCAGCTGACCACCCAATCTGTGTATACATTCTTTTCTTTCAAAGTTCGTAAATTATCAAATCAGCAACACATTGATTTGCTACTCGGTTAGGCGTTTCGATTGAATGCAGCAGGTAGCTTAATTTCTGCTTAAATTCCTATGAATCTACGTATGATAATTTTTTCCTCGGCCTTCAATAGAGTGAGCACTGACAGTTTACAGAGTCTTGACATGTCGCTCTCAATCTAAGCCGTCTTGGGAATTTAGTGACAAGATTCCTTTGCAGTGAGGCGCTAGTCAGTGGTTTCCTTCGCACACTTCTTCCGTGACAGGAATGTCTTCGAACAACCCTTTCTTTAGCTACAAATCAACCTCTGTAGATACAAGTGACAGAGACTCAGAAACAGTTCGGTTGTGAATTTTTACTTCTAGTTTTCTAATAAATCCTGAGAGCCACTCCGAGACTTGAACCTGTCTTCTGGAAAAAACTGTATCTTCTGCTACTAAACTGCTATGAGTGAATTTGAGCCGCATCCATCTGTAGGTTCGCATCGTATCTATCTACGCACCAAGCTATCAGTATGAGAAGTGAACACCGGGATGTTGGATCTGTTTGGCCGAAATAAAACACCCAATATCTCAAACAAGCAAATGGGACTCCACGACAACCCGCCCACGTCGCTCTGCAACCTCCTCAGGTGACTCAATCTGTCACATATATTTGCAAACACATGAGGTTTTGAGTTCATTGTGATAGATTGAACTATTGCCGAAAGACGGTCAGTCAGGAACTCCTTTAAACACACATTAATGAGAAGAGATGATGCTTGGCAACAAGTTAAACCATCAAGACAGAATGAAAGTTATGACTGCACCTCGCTCAAAGTTTGAAATATAGCCTTGACTGTGTTCAATGGATGTCGAGACCCGATCACCTGCTCAAAATAGTCACAGCAGTTTATGCTTTCAACTTCAGCAGGGCCATATTGATCATCAGGAATGGACAACTATCAAACAGTGTAATTTCAATCTCGTACCAGGACATATACATAGAGCAATATTGTCAAAGTTAGTGCATCCGGCGACAAAGCGACTTGAGAGAACCCTAATGCTCGAAACCACACATGGGGTGCATTGGGCAATTCAAACGAATCGAACCACTAAATTGCAAGCACTTCAAAATAACACCACACCTTATATATATAGCAGTTTCTAAAAAATGTAACACCGAGCTCTCAGCACACATGCACCGATGTATGAAAACCTGATACTGCGGAATGTGCGCTTACATAGACCTGGGAGGGACGGTGGAAAAAAGGCAATTACATTCTCGATTGGAACACTGGGTTAGACAAAATCTTTATATCTCGACCACTTAAGACTCACCTTGGATTTAACATTCTTGTATCCTGCTAACCTCAAAATACCACCGACTGTGTGACTGGCTTTCATGCCGGTACCAGACCTACCGGGCCACAAGTACACCTGCGTCACCCAAGCCAAGGGTCGGTATGCTTCACACTAAGTCATCAGAAAGAAGCTGAACCATGAATCATAAGAGAAGATCTAGTGTTCATTCAGAAAATCAAGTCTTAAGACTTGTCGTACCTTCGTCTTCTCAAATGTTGAATCGTGTTCGTGAAAGATGGTGTGCCCTTGATACCTTTCGAAATAGTGAAGATTTTCCAGAGCTTTTTGACAGGCCTGAAATGAAAAGCATAAATCGGCATTGTCTCGTACTTCTCATTCTCAAAACTAAAGTTCGACATTCCTCATGAAGAAAGTGGAGCTGAAAGCAAATCTCGGGTTAATAAATCATCAACATGAATTTTATCCATACAAGTCCGCTTGCTGCCACAATTCACCAACCTTATCAATCGCAGGTCCAACTTCTGAAGACTTGCCCTTGCCATAGCCAACCACTCCGTCGTGGTTACCACAAATCACGACGGCTGCAAAACTTTGAACTTTCCCTCCCTACAGTACAGGTGCTCTCGTTATCACGAGGACAAAAAATAAGGAAAAATATTCCCAACTATGAAGGTCGGTAAGTGACAAATTTAAGCGGGAACATTTGGAAACCGACAAAATGAACCTCTTAGATATGGATGTTCTGGCAACATAGGAGGTATTCTCCAAGTAACATTATACATATGATTTTACTTACATAAGCACCTACTCAAAGGTTTCGTTTCACTAAGTAACAATTATTGAAAAAATGATCATTTGACATGCATTGTTCTACTGCAAGCACTGAACATCAAATGTAGCTCGGTTCACAACACTCGTGGCGTAAATACAGTCACAGCCGGCAGGTTTACAAGAATGCAAGGTTCAGAAGGTACCTTGGTAACTTTAACAGTCCGGTTGACATCGATAACCTTCATCTCGTAACCCTGCACATTAAAATCGACTTCTTAAACAACTGCCCCTTACCCTTGGACTTTGCTTAATAGCAGTTAACTTCGCTTAAACTGTAGGAACTGAACCTATGTACGAGAAGACGAGTAAACGTTCAGACTTACACGAGGCATTCTAGGTCTTTCGTCATCATCTTTCTCCGATTTGATCTTCAAAGCTTTCTGGAGCAGAAACCTTTGCCTTCTTCGTGGAACACCCTCAAGGGCAAGATCAAGATTGGACGAGCCCTCCGAAACAGCCGGAATATCTTCAAAGTCTTGCTCTATATCTCCATGTCCTTCGTCCAGCTCTGCAAATTCCTCATACGTGTCCACAGGAGGCTCGTCCGAAAACCGCCCCGTTGACATGAAGCGGGATCTGCAATCTGGAACTCCGTCTGTTTATTACGAAATCCATTCGCTTGTTGCTCACAAAACCCGCAAATTCCAATCACGTTTTGACCTCACAGAATCTAACAACGATCGTACGGCACAAGCCTGCTGACGCCTCTGAACAGAGGCATCTGAATTCTGTGAAAGAGTTCTACAGATCACCGATTGCGAGACGATGGTCATAGAATCTCATAGGTGTTGCCTGCCTACATAGGAATTCAGAAGAAAACACTAAAAAACGTGAAAACAACCAAGATGCACACTAAACCCTCGCATCAAGTGTCCAGCACCTCTAGAGAAAAGAATCGAAGTCGAAGCGCCCGAATCCAACCTCCGACCACATCCACTTATGCCTAAAGTGGACAGCTCATGAGCACCCTGGGCTACATTCGACGCGATCGGCTGCCACGGCCCAGTCCTCTGCACCGCCAGGGCTCGCCGAAGCGCCTGCAGACACGCCCTCCCAGCCATCTATTGAAAAATGCCTCCGACGATCAACCGATCCACCGATCACGCTGCTGTCGAAACCCGTCACCGAATTACGCAACACGCACAACACATTCTCGAGCACCTCCAGCTCCTGCTTCGACGCTTGACGACTCCTTGTCCGTGCCAAACCACTAAACCCTTTCCCTCATTCCATTCGTTTCTAGCTTCGGTAATCCTGAACTCCGAAGAAAGCAGAAACTATTTTCCCGTAAAAGTGGCAGCCGATTTCGGCTACAGACATAAATGTGACGCATAGTGAAATCCTCAAAGAGGGCATAGTCGGTTTTACCATGCGGTACAGTACTCGGCAGCAAGGGACGACCGGTTCTAACTATACGTGCGGGAAAATGCCGGAATTATAAGTTTGCGGTGCCGCTGCTACGACGGAGGGATCGCGCCATCCCGCGCCTCTCCTTGCGCGTTGTCGTGCATGAGGCGGAGCTGGAGGAAGTGGAAGGCTTTCGTCGACCTTTTTCTTCGGAGAAAGGGGGGCCCTGACAGTCAGTCAGGAAGGAACATGATTGATGCGATGGAGTCAGCTCAAGAAAGCTGTAGCGCAGGCTGAGATATACGTGCTGTAGGGGGTACCGAGGGACTAATAGATCGGGCTCGCAGCTCTTTTCTGTGTGTCTGTGCCAGGCAGCCGAGAGAGATTACAGGACGGGGCAGGTTTTCTGTCGGAGAGGGAGATAGTTGGGATAGAGAATTATCAGGTCTAGTGGGAATAAATTGATCAGTGGGATTGATTGACGACGCGTGGACAATTTGCGGTTGGTGCGAGTAATCCCGTGATTTAGCGAGGTTAGTGAAAATGTCGAGCGAGGAGGACGATGATGAAGAGCTGCTGCAGAGAGCTTTAGCGGAGCAAGCTCAACGCGATCAGACTTACAAAAGACCACCGCAATATCCTCCCCCTAGCATCTCATCCGCTGCCGCGGGTCCCCCTCGACGCACTCCACCTCAAACACCTCCCAAAAGAACACCTCCTGCTCCTCCTCCTGCGATGGAAGACGAGGAAGAATCGGAAGTAGAGCTTCTTAGCATTTCGTCCGAGGACGACGATGCGCCTCCTCCTTCCCGTCGACCTCCGACTGCGAAAGATAAGGGCCGTCCAATTGATGACGACGATAGCGATTTGGAGTGGAACGAAGATGACGAAGAGCCAGAAAACTGGAATCATGTTGACCAGGCTGAGGTATCGCTTCTTCTTTCTATTTGCAATTTCAGTTTTTTCGTAGCCTCATCTTCTTCAGCCAATTCCAATACCATTTTCGGTAGAACGTAGTAGAGTACATCCGTTGCTCTGCTGCGATGTTGGCTGATTTCTAAGTCAAAACTCATCATTTTACCCTCCATTCACATGCTTTTACCGTTCGTCACAATCTGAAAGATCGTCTTTCGTCAACATCAAATACACCACTATGAATAAGAGCATAATCACCAATTGCCACCGTTAATGCAAATTCAGTTTTAGAGTATCCGATTAAGTACGTCGGTGATGACTGTTAGCTGTCATGTCATCACACACGTCTAGCGTTTTGTTCTTCAGTCAAGTACCGTGTGATGAGGTTGATTCGCGTCAGCTTATTCTGTATTTGTTCCGATCAAAAGACGTGTTCTTATATATTATGATAACAGTAAGATGGGTTCAAACCCAAGGTAATTAAGTCACAGCAGAGTTTGAACCCTGTGATCACGACAACAAGCTTATTGTGACATTGTCCAAATGGCAAGTCTTTTGTAAATCTTGAAGGGCCGATACAAAGTTCCTGTATTGCTCCGTCGATGTAGGTAGCACTTTGCCGAATGATGAGTGTATGATGAGATAGGCGGATCTGGATGAAATTCCGGTTGAGTATTTTTACTCTTCTTACCTTCTTATGTAGTAAGAAGGTAGAAGAACTCATATCATGGGAACGTTCGTGTGTGTTACATGATCGTCAAAGTCGTTTTAAGTCTTCATGACAACTGTGTTTAAATTTTCGAAACTCTCCACGAGCACAAGGTTGTTGTGGTCTGTGATCTCCTTATGCAAGACTTGAGATGAGAAAGCTGTGCTTCAATTGTGAAATTGGGGATGCCGCTCAAGGTTGCCTTAGAATGCAACTTGAGTAGTAATTTGCTTGTAATCTTACTTCAGCCTTCCACAGTTGGTGAGGGGCTGTGTTTGGTGGGAACGTTTTAGTGGATCACATCAGTCCATCTTACGAGCAGCTCTTTGAATCCCTTGTAAATGTTTTGTATCGATGCAGCTGGTCCGGAGGGTGCGGGAGATGCGGGAGACAAGAGCTGCTCCTGCTGGGCAGACTACAGCACGCATTCGTCGGTCTAACACCCTTGTTGAGGCTCCTAGGGGCGAGGATTTGCTCGACCCATTAGGACTCGGGTAAAGTATTCAATTCTTTCACTACTCGGGTTTCTCTGTTTCTAGCACATTTCTAGCTTTGGTTCATGTAAGGTTGAAACTTAAATAATATTTTACGCCACTGGTGATGGTGTGCTAGGTGGTTCTTTCTACGAGTCCACTGTGTTTAGCATTTTGTGCTGTCTCTTATTTCCAAGGATTAAAGATAAATTCGATTTGGAAGATTTCATCAGTGTCAAGGTCGTTTGAAATACTGGTCAGGTCTATTGTCTTGGAACTAAAGTAGTGTCACCCCCAGATAGGTTGTTCTCAGTAATAGCTTTTAATTTTCATGCTCTTTCTTACAATACTCCGGTAGGTCTTTTATCGGTTGATAAGTGTACTTACGATCTTTGGATGCATCGCAGCTTGACCCGTATTGATTGGAAATTTCATATCGTGATGCGATTGCAGACCTATCAACCTGAAGGCGCTTACACTTTCTAGAGATACTGAAGACTCTCCTGCGGCACAGTCCAGCAGCAGGCGAAAAGGCAATGACTATCAAACTTCTCAGGAAGAGCCACCTCTAGTCCGCGACGCCGCTGCTAGAGGTTTCCCAGCTGAAACCTTTACTTTCCCCATCTTGTAAACGTTATGCACATCTATCGATGGGTCAACTGATGGGTAAACTGCATTAATTGCTGCGGACCAGCTATGTATATTCTGTATGCCTTCATTTGATTAGCCGAATAGCACGCTTATGGTGGAGATTATCATTCTCTGATCCGGAAATTTAATTTTTTCCTTAGTACTTACAAGAAAACACTGGTTTTCTGCAGAGAAGGTTATGTATCACTCTGAAAACTTCGACCCCAAGTTCTTCTTAGCAAGGATTCATCAAAATACAAGTGCAGCGGAACTCGAAGCTGGAGAGGGTGCACTGAAGGCTAATTTGCAGAACCGCAAAGATCAACTCAAGAAACTTGTCAAAGAGAACTTCGACTGTTTCATCTCCTGCAAAAACACTATAGATGGTCAGATCCTTCTTGCACCCTGATGAGATTAGTCTACAGTGGACATGTGACGACTTTGATGAAGGATGTATATGTAAATAAAAGCATATAACACATTAGAAGGCCGCTCCCTGTTTTCAACCTCTTCTTGAATATATCCTTGTTCCTCTAGCTGTCCTGCAATACATGTAACTGCAAATTTTGTTGGTCGGTCCAATTTGCAGGTTGAAGATGCCTGATTAAGATTGTTTTGTTTATGCTTTTCGCAGATATTCATTCCAAATTGCAACAAATAGAAGCTGATCCAGAAGGTGCTGGAACAGTTCACCTTAGTAATGCCATACAAACTGTAGATGCCGTCGCAAAGCGAGCCTTCGGACCCTTGCTAGAGCGGCAGGTCAGTTTATTTTCCAGATGTCCGGATTTGCGTCGTTGAGACCTTTCTGACTAATGCTCGAACGAGCACAATGTTATACAAGTATCATTTATCACGTTAATAAGTATCTGTTTCTCTTGACAGGCACAAGCAGAACGTATTCGCTCGGTTCAGGGCATGCTTCAGAGGTTTCGCACCCTTTTTAATCTTCCCAGCATTATTCGAAGCAGCATCAGCAAAGGCGAGTATGACTTGGCGATTCGAGAATATAAGAAAGCGAAATCTTTGGTGCAATATACCAACGTAAGTCATACTTCCATAGTGTGTATCTGCGATACGGTTACTGAAGCTCACGACGAACGATAAAATCATTCTCGTTACAGAGGGTGTCACTGTTAGCAGTTGCAATTGCAGTGAACTTAACTTGGCATTCTTAATAATGTACTTATTATTTAATATATCATAGTAATCTCGTAGTTGGAAATCAGTACTGTAGCCTATTTTGAGCCTCTGGATGGTGAGTTATTCTACCTAAAGTAGGTCTTTAGGCTCGAGTTGGAGACGGCTTTACTTAGTACATGTTTTCTCTTGAGTGGATCGAGTGAAGACAGCCAGCTAGTCAATGCATTCAGTTGATTTTTTTGCTCACTTTTGACATTCTGTCCTCGCCTTTTGCATGAAGACAAGGCCTTTATGGGTCTTAGACTTGTTCTATGAATTTTGTGGCTTACCGTGTTGGGTCCAACAGGTCCGCATTCTAAGCAGGGCCCTGGATGAGGTGGATAAGATTGTGCAAGAGTTCAAGGATATGCTTTACAAAACTATGGAGAATCCTAATGTTGACCTGACGCAGGTATATAAAAGTACATACAACAAGAGCTGCTACTCGTCATGTTTTGCATTTGGTTGATTTTTGTGACGAAGCTTGTATTAGAGCAGCGGGTTAAGGAAATGTACAATGTACATGTTAGTACATGTTTTTTCCTTGGTGTTACAACCTGGTGAAGTATGCAAGAGAAAGTCGTAATGGTGCACTGTTTGAGGTTGGTTTTAACAAACTAAACAGCTCGCCTTGCTGAAGTTTGGTTTGTTGACTTATGTTGGAAGAATATTTACAATTATTATGTCTGTGCAGCTGGACAATACAATTCGTCTCTTGCTCGAGCTTGAACCTGATTCTGATCCCGTCTGGCATTATCTAAGCATTCAGGTGGGTTGTGCTTCAGTTCGACAAGTTTTGTAAGAATTGTTACTGGAGCGTGATCTTACGGAATAATACTGCTTAAGTAATGTAGCACAACTCTAAAGAGTAATAATATAATAATATCAGTACTAATTTACTGACTGTTTACGCTGACAGGACCGAAGAATCAGGGGTCTCCTTGAAGGATGTTCTTTGGAGCATGAGGCACGTATGGATGCTCTACAGGGTCGAGTCCGGGAGAAAGTACAGTCTGATGCCCGGTGGAAGCAGTTGCAGCGGGAGTCGAACAAAGCTGTATGTACAGAATTGAAAACTCACTTGTTCAAGAAATGCATCGGATTTTAATGTTAATGGAATAGGTGCCATCATAATGCATTTATCTTGATTTTGATTATTCTTTTTGTCTGAATTTCTGGACAGTCCGACGTAGATTTCAATCTTCTTTTGGGAGATCAAGACAAGGAAGTTGGAGAAAATCAGTTCAAAGATTCTACTGGGGAGGAGTCAGATGCTCTATTGGGACGTCTCATACGCAGACTTACTGCTGTCATTGTGCAACATGTTCCCAATTTTTGGAGGCTTGCTCTTTCCATATTCAGCGGCAAGTTTGCTAAGGTATGGATCATGAAGGAGACCTTAGCATTCACCAGATGAAGCTCCTGATTTGAGATGGCATGTTTCTGTCGTATGAGTCTTTCGTGTAGCCAAACAAGGTTTTGTGCACCGTGTACTTACTACGTTAACTCTATCATATGTTGCAGGTAACGCAGCCGGGTGCTGTCAACGGAAGACAGAATGGCGCATCCAACCATGATCCCGCACTGTACCCGTATGAAGAACACCCCGGTTCAAAGTACACCACTCATTCTGAGGAAGAGGTTGTGACGATGGTTCACTGTATTATATCTCTGTATGAGACTAAGGTAAGTTAACTCATAATTCTTGTTCCATTTTTCACCAACTTTAGCATCTCTTTACCATTACTTAAGCAAATCCTAGAGCAATATATTCAATGCGAGTTCTTCTTTATCAGGTACAAAATGCATTTATCGCTCTCGCGGAGGCAAATGTGCTCCGCCCTTACATGAAGGAAGCTTTGATGGAGATCTCGAAGGCGTGTGTAGCTTTGGAGGACAAGGATTGTGCACCTAGAAGTGCTGGTGAGTCATTCTGCATTTGATTAGTAGTTGAGTAGTTGGCGTTTTGCAATTCTAGTTTTCTTGCCATACTTCTCGTACATTTACACTCTGTTATCTAGCATTCAGCTTGGTCAGAGCAGTTGCAATTATAAACATTAGAGGAAACAAGTCATATTTTCAGCATTATCAGCGTACAGCATCCACTGCTGGCAGATAAAAACACTGCAGCCAATTATCCAGTAAATAAAACTCATAGCGACCTAGTCCTATCCTTTTCCATCTATAGGTCCTGGCAGTCGGAGTTTAAGACAAGCGCTTAATCCAGAAACCATCCTTCAACCGCGAGGCCTATACGGCCTCAACCTGGGAAGTCGGATCATTATGTAAAGTGTCAGTATCCTTCTTACGCAAGAACTATCTGCAATGATAGTCTCTACAAATTTCCCCAAGTATATCAGGGAATAGCAAAGCACTTTTTATTGTAATTTTATGGAGATACCGGAGATATATCACTTTGGACTCAAGACATTTGCATCCAGATTCTGGCACCTATGGTATTTACTGTAGTGTCGATATACTTGGGGATAGCAGTGCAGTTTTGATCGTGGTTTACCTTTTTAATAGAAAAGCGTCACTTCGCCTACAGATTCTGGCAATCAAATATATCCACTATGAAGTCAGTCTTGTGTGCCATGACTAATGAATATTCTTCTAATATGGGGATTGTGCAGTACAAGCTCTTCTGGTTTTGCGCACAGAGGTCACTAGAGTATTTGTGCTTCGTGTCTGCACCTTGATGCGAGGAGCTACCGCTGCACTTGTTCAGGAAGAGGATTGGATTCCTGTTCCAACAATTGAGCGTGGTGGTACACCATATGCGATATCCGCCTTGCCCCTTCGTTTTCGTGAAATGTTGGTCGTGACATTGGAGCATATGGCAGAGTATGTTTTGACCTAAACGCTTTATTGCTATCAATACAGAGCTAATTGATTCATTTGCATGAAGCTTTGGTGTATCTGCTAAGTTTTTGCGCAAATCATGATAGATGGATTGTGTTCAGCCTTTTGTGGCTGCAAACGTTTGAATCTGTGATATTTTGTGACCATCAATAACTTTGGGATGCCGTTCAGTGACTGATTCAATAGATTACCTTTTACCTCAGTGACGTTTTGCTTCGTTGGAATGCAGGATGATTCAAAGACTAACTAACAAAAATGTGGAACTTCATGAGGATCTGTCCGCTCAAGTCCGTCAAATGCAGGACAATGTGAGGATTACATTTGTCGAATGTTTCCTTGACCTCGCTGGTAGGTCGCTTTTGTTCAGTCATTACCCTGTCTTTGCTTTTGTTGGCGACTATGAGAGGTGTTGCAATGTTCTCAATGAATGTCAGATGTTTTCTGTCTTAGGTTGAGTCCATTTCATCTGCTTCTAAGAGTTTTTTCGCCTGACATGGGATCATAAAATAATCACCGTAATAAATAGAGCTCTCTAGAAGTTTGCATTATTGGAAGGAATTCAGATTGCTTAAAGCGCGCCCTTTCACATTCATGTAAACATGGTTACACGTTTAGAAGTAACGAGGACGCAGTGACGTCAGCTCTGCTCTGGAAAAGACATGACTACTGTGTATGTGCTCTAATGGATGGAATCGCTATCCAAATTTTTTTCTGATGTTGCAGAATGGCTGGATAAGTTGACAGAGGAGATATCTCTTAATCCACATCCAGAGGATACTGCAGGAGGTGAAGGTGGCACTTCAGCAGGAGAAGATAAGGTTATGCCCCTGATAGCGGGCACAGAAGTCACCAATTACCACCAGAGATTGCTCATGGTCTTGAGCAATACTGCGTTTTGCAAGAGCTCGCTTCTACCTGATCTTAATCAAAAATATCAACTTGTTTGGAGTTATTCGAGGTAAGGAATCATGGTTTTATTTTCCCAAGTATTCGACGTATTGTTGAGTCCTCCACTGTAGTCTCTGTAGTTTCTTCTTCCACATCTCAGCAGCTCTCGTCTGTACTTGTCCAAATGCAGCCAACATCCAGCATCAAAGAGCAGGGCACATGAAGAAAGCAACGTATCAACGATAGAGGAAGCATCGAATGCTCTTTCCACGCTAGAAGAGAAGATTCTGAATCATTACAACCTTGCTAAGGTGAGGATGTGAGAACTTTGAATTGTAAAGCTCGCTGGTCACGCCTTCAGTCTCCAGCGTCAAGTACATTCTCCGACGGAATGATAATATCTCAAACCCTGTCTTGACGCTAATTGAGAAGCTCCAGTTTAGATCCGAATCTCGAATTCGTGTGCGCGTTTAGAAACGTCATATGAGTCTCTCTTCTGAATCAAATTGACCCGTGACTACCCCTTTTGCAGGCTTCAGTGGTGGGAGTCGCCGCAGCAGCTTACCTTTTAGATGATGGCACACTGTGGGCACAAACTCCTCCTATTAAAGTGAGTCTTGAGTGCAGGAAGAAATGTATATCTTTCTTATGAGTATATACTAGTCGAAGATCATGTTTTTTGCTTGTATCAGACTAAATTGTTTTACGTCAACTTGGAATCTAATAACATCAAAAGCTCCTCTGTTGTATACCTAAAACTTATCTTCATGCATGACAGGGTATCAGAGACAATGCTGTTGAGCTTTTGCATCCTCTGGTGGCAGTGCATGCAGAGGTATGTTGTCACAGTCCCTACTTCTTATTGACACTAAATATTGTGAAGGGAAAGAGGATTACTACTTGACTTGTTTGACCTTATGGGGATCATTCCGTGCACTATCATGGCAGGTGTTTGCGGGAGCGAAGCCCTTTTTGGACAAGGTTGTCAATGTCTTGGTTGAGGGATTGCTCGTTGCTCTTCTTAATGTGTTCACTGAGAACAAATTTAAGGTTCTTCGAATCCTCGACGTAAATGGATACTCGCAGCTTATGCTTGAGGTTGGTATCTATCTCGATGAGTTCCTTGTATTTTTAATTTTAGTCACTAGTAGCAGTTGTGTATGAACGTTAAGTATGGGTCACATATGTAGATGTTACTCGGTTCTTAGACTTCAATGAGGCATATTTGTAGTCCTGCTGGGGCATATTTGTGGATTTTACCATTTGTGTAGAGTGAATCTTGTCTTGCATAGTAGCTCGCTCGCCCCCAGAAAAGGTACTGATTTCTAGACTCTCAGATACATACAAGTTTAGTCATACAATATTAGCATTTTGAAATATTTCTTTTGTTGCTATGCCATCGCTTGTTCCTCCCGTAAATGTAGTTCGTGAAGGAGGTAAAATCTTCGCGTCGGTTGTGCAGTTGGATTTCATAGATGCCGTACTTGAAAGATATTTCACATCCGCAGCTAGGGAGGCAAGTATTGCCCTCCGAGACATGCTCCTAGAGAAGGTTTGTGAGAGTGTCAATGAGATCCATCAGGCCGAGATGTCTGGGGCCAGCAGGCGTTCCCGAGGGAGCGAAGATGTTATGATGGACCAGGGTCCTTCTATGTCAAGAGAAGACATACAGGTATTGCATTATTGCGTTGCCCCCTACCCCTACACCGAGAGTCACGTATCGAAAGCAAAATATTCTAAAATTGATGTTTGTCTAAGTCTGTCTTAACCCTGAGCTTGGAAATAATTTGAGAAGCATCCCAAAATGCTGTATATTTTAGAAATAAGAACCAGTGTTGTGAAATACTCTTCGTTCGATTGATCTGGTCTCTTGTTGGATGAACTTTTTTATGCTTTTCTGTGCTTCTGCTCTGGCTTGCAATCTAACTGTAATATCACGTTGCAGGCATATGCCCATCAGGTGAGTGCAGATCATCTGCCTCTGGAGTTAAGAAGAACGCGCGTGAATGTTACTTGTTTCACAGAGTCATTACCAGAGTTCAGTCCTGGAGCAGGGAGGCGCCCGGCTCTCCATGTTGGAAGGCATCCTTTGGCTCCAGGTGGGTCTATCATTGCTCGCCATCTCCGCAAGTCATCGGGTTCGAGTCTTGGTGGAGAGTCTGACCCGGGTAGACTAAGTGTGGGGCTCCCTCCTCTTTCTCCTCAACTTGGATACGCCAGCTCTGATGTTGGTAGTGAAACAAGCAGCAAAGGCGCTCCTTCGGACCGCTTCTCAAGACTCCAATCTGAATCACGACTTCAAACTGACAACCGTGCGCGAACGTCGCGTCGTACAAATAGCAGTAACTATGGATTGTAAGAATAACAACAATGATTCAGTGTTTCGATTTATATGATATCTCTATTTATCCCGAAGTACGGCAGCCCATGCTCTGCCATATCCAACATTGTGTTCGCTTCCAAGACCGCATTGGTCACACGAGAAATACAAGACTCGAGCAAATGAGCTGGAGTCCGTCAGCTCGGTCTCTTTATTGGATTAGTTCTACACGCGAAGACCATTGAGCCGTCTGCTCCTGTTCGCAGCTTCTCTAGAGTTTTTCATCGCAGGAAATAGTTTGAATCGCTCTTCTCTATGGACAAAACTGCTCCCCAATGCTGCAACCACCTCGTCAGGAGATATTCAGTTTGAGTGAGTAACCATTATTTGACAAGTTTGCTGAGTCCTTAAGTCTGCGCAAATAGTTGTCAGTTTGAATATAGCGGATGCCACGAGAAATTTCTGCGAGAAGTTTTCTGGATGGAGAAGATGGCTGTGGTCTGTCTTGCAGAAAATGCTTGTAGGGTTCTGAGGTTTGTAAAATCGGTACATGTGCTCGTGCTTCGGCACGCTGAGCACCTGCCCTAGTCCTCTGTTCGATATTGAACGCTTGATTGTCCAGTAATGTTCTCGGAATTAGCTTGCTGCTTGTAGACTTCGATCGTCTTCGTTTGATTCATTTCAACTCACTCGTGAGGCTTTGTAATGTGGCAAGGGATTTCTTGACTGAAACTTCCTCCCGTAGAGATTTTACTCACGATTGTGGCGTGGACGAATGCAATTAGTACTATATGTATAACGGTCGATTAGCAACCATTTTTTGGCCACATAAAGGGTCATACGTAGGATGTGCGAAGTCACTAGAAGGCACAGACCATCATGCTCTGTATTTGATGAGATACGAGCCAAGTTTGCATCAATATGTGTCTGAGGATGCTATCATCTAAAAGGCGAAAGCAGGATATCTAAAGAAATACTTACTCTTGACCTAGCTAAGTTTGAAGACTACAGAAAGACTAATGTGGTGCTTGATCAACAGATGAAGAGGCAATGATTGACGATCCCTGGTTTGGCAAAGAGCTCCCTATTTGAAACCAAGAGGGAAAAGGACGTTGAAATTCCGTTGACTATACATTGGGACGTACCTAGGTACTGCCCCTTAGCAAATAAATTTTTGTACGCGTGTCGCCTCGTTTTGTGTTCATTGTTTCTGAAGCAAACATACCTACAGGGAAACTCTTTCAATGCAGGGGGAAGCCATTTTCCACCCAGTAAGTATGAGAATCTTCTCATACTTGGCGGAAGTCAAACAGAAATGTCTCTACCTTGTTTCTTGTGGTAAATATAAGTGACATAATAACTATATTGTCATTCTATTAACATGTCCCACAACGGAAATATTTTCTGGTTGCAAAGTGACGTGAGTGAACGGGAAAAACATCTGAAGTTGTGTTCTTCTAGGTTTTCTTTCCTCTCCCAATTACCCAGTTGTGGCACGAACGAGCATCAACAAGCAGCACCGCGGTCACTTAACTAAAACGAAGTGACAAATCCCCAGAGAATGACTCTCTACCACTTATGTGTACATCTGAATGGGACAGTAAAGGAGGGATACTTACAATTCAGGTCCCCTAGGAGGAAAAAGAACCCAACCCTACGTAATCGAGGTTACAAGTCTCTTGGATGGGGAGATAATGTGTACAAGGAGGCCACCCAAGGTGGCAATCAAAACCTCCACATTTTAAATCGCTTTCTCAATGGCATCCATACAATTCCTCTCAAACCATCATTCCCTCCGTTGCACTATCCGGTTACATGCGTGAGCTGCTGCGGGTGCATTGAGAGATAGTATTGTACAGAACAGCGGGGGCGAGCACGTAGGATATAATCTCAACAATTATACGAATCTATTCCTGTGCAAGTAAACATGCATACCAGGTGCAGAAACGCCACTCGAAGAGCTACTAAACACAAAAAAAGAATGAACAGGAGTAAGAAAGTATATCGCTACGTTGTATTGTATAGGATGTGAAGTAGCTAATAAATATTGTGCCTCGTGGGAAGCTGTCCAGAAGGGAGTTGTTCCCCGGTTTGGATTACAACCAGAGTCGAGGAATGAGAGAATCCAGGAAGCGGAGGTTTTCTAGTTTAAATTTATATTGTGGTTTTATTTAGGGAAGCGAGAGTTCGGGACTTATTTAAGTGCCATCCCACCAAAGAGTTGATTCCGGCATATATCAACCTTTTACTTCTAAACTCGAGTGGACACCATGGGAATTCTGCAGGTTGGAAGGAATTGGAGGTGAGTTCTTGGCTTAAATATGAAATTTTTGAGTGTCCTTAGCATTTTGAAGATGCATGAAGGTAGAATCTTAACTCATTTGGTTGACGAGCGCGTAAGGAATATAGGAATGAGATGTTATGGGCCGATGCATTGGGCCACGATCACAGGTACAAAGATAGAGGGAGCTGATTGGTATGGTGTGGGTTTAAACCCTGTGAAGGGTGTTTGTTCATGTGAGCAAAAGGGTTCAATCGGATTCAAGGTGAACTTTATCAGTGACGAGTTTAGACTTAAGGAGATGATTATCTTGAATCGTTTGTTTTCGCCGAAGTGAATTACTCATGCATACTTTATGATAAATTGTCGTCCACATACATCATGTCACTTGAAGGTAAGGAATTATTCCATATCTATTTAATTAGGCTTTGCACGACTTAGTTTCAGCTCTACAATCATAATGCAGTCAACATGAAATCAACATGAACAATTCATCTCTGATTTGAACTGGAACTATTATTATCAGTAGAATTTCGCTTAAGATGTTTCATAGCGCTGTCGTAAATTGATCGAACTGTCAATGGGACTAAACAACTCATTTTATCTTGTATATTTGATTTTCATTGTTCTTTTATCCTCTCTGTTTTTGGGCTCGAGAAACATTATAAGTACTAGTTTTTCCATCGTATCAATCAATCAGATCTTAGATCAAGTAATTGGTTTTTAATATGGATCGTACATATCATACCATATATATGATTGTATATCAAATCCTAACTATCAGGATTGACTATTTTGGTTCAGACTATTAAGAACGGTGAGACCTAGCTTCCCGAACATTGTATCAGAGTTTTTTTAGTAAAACTCTTGTGTTGCCGTGGAGTAGCCGGAGGCAAACTAAGTCCTGATTCTTGCATCAAATCTTCATGTATGTGATATTCTCATGAATTCTGAACAACAAATGGTGTCAAGAGTCTCACAATTTCCCCGTATTTATCAAGATCACCGTGGTTGGACGTCTCTTAGAGCTCTTTGGCTGCGCGGACTTTACAGTCCGAATGATCTATTGATCCGGTTGGGCATTTGATCGAGCAGATCCGGACCATGGCAAGATGCAAGATCATTACAACGAGCGAGTGACCGAAAGGAGTGATAAAGTATTAATTAAAGATCGAGGTGAGTAATTGCTACACTTTTTTTTAACATACTAATTTTCTAAATATCAATACAAACATAAGTTTTATCTATTATTTGACATTAACTTACTAATTACATGTATATTGATAAGATAATCTCAAAAATATAGTTTTTAATATTCAAATACATTATTTCAATAATGTATTCAAATATTGCATAAAAATAATGCATATATTGCAATATTATAAAATTTAAAAAATTTAAAAAATAATCAATTCCAACTGACAATTTTACACAATATAAGATCACCAAGATATTTTTAACTAAATATTCTTTAAAATTTCATGGTTAATATTCATTTAAATCCACATCTTATGATAATTTCAAATCTCATATTTCCATGCATACACTTCTTATGTATATGTATGTATGTACATACATATAATACAAAGAATAAAAATAATATTCTGAAATATTTGTAATTATTTATTTACAAAAAATGTGAAATAAAAATTATCAATTATCTCACATAAATTTCTTTTAATATAATTTAGTATTGAAATTATGTTTTTAAATATTTAATAATTTTCAAATTTATCTAATATTTCAAATTTCTAAGCATAATAATATATAGGAGAAAGTCATTATATTACATAATAACATATATAGTATAATTTTCTTTGCAATTTATACTATATAATTATATCTTATCACTAAATTTAGTGCTTTCAAGTTCATTATCTTGACTATGTTAAGTTTCATGTTTTCATGTTGAACACATGATATGTACCAAATAAACCTATTTAATTACATAAGACTTGTATTTGATTACTTCAAAATTGAGTTTTATCTTGTAGGCTACGATTTAAATTTTAAAGTGTAAGATTTGGTGCATGGATGATTTTCTCATTTTATATGAAAGGATGAATAGTTCATGCATATCATGATTGATAGTTGTACTCATATATTCTGATTCACAATACGTAGATATCAAGCCGGTCAAGAAGATACTCCACATCAATGACTTCAATATATTGTTTGCTTGCATCTTTGATATACAATATTGTTATTTATCCTTCTATCTTGTTTGCAAAGATACTATCTCACTTATACTCGTATTAAATTTTGAAATTGTTTGATAGAAGGATAGTACAAATATTTGATGACATCATTCAGTTAGATATTTTTGAATTCTTGATCAAAGGTTTGACATGATAACGACATCTTTGTCAACTTTTTGTGTAGTCATAATATTATTGTGGATACAAATAACACCTTTTTGATTATCATATGTGAAATCTTTTTTCACATTATCTCTACATGTTTCAAATATAGACTTGTAAGTTTACACATAAAGATGATTATCAAAAACTATGCAAGAGACGTGATTGTATATATATTGATATTTCAGTATGAAAAAAAAATATCTATGTTGCATCATGAATGCTTATCTATAAGATACAACTTTAGCTATCATTTTCACCTTTTATTGTAAAGGTTTTCATTAGAAGTCTATAATCTATCTTGACTAACTCATACATAATGCAATTTTTTTTTTTAAATCTGAAGTATTCATGTATTGCTTGTAACCTTAACAATTTCATTTTTTCTATCTTTTTTCTATGGCAAAAATGTTTGCTTGTAAGTCTTCATTTGATCACGCATTAAGGCTTTCTAAGTTGCAATAGTAATTATTTCAACACTAATAGGGTTTTGGCTAGATCCGATCTGTTTTTCGAACTGTTTTTTATTCTTCACTAATGAGAGTATTATCACTTTAGTTACATGAAAGGTTCACATGATGTGATCCTCATTTGGATGTCAGAATATAGCTTGCTATGATATCATAAAGAATGCAGTGTTTGCGATGATGTGTTAAAATGACTATTTTTCATAGTGATCTAAGTGCTATGTCTTGAAGTTGACTGTGGTAAAGAAATCTTATTCTTTTTGTTTTGAGGATTAAGCTCTTCAGGAAAATGTGTCAACAAGCATATCTTATTGTGACATAGTTTTCTATAATATGATAATTTATTTTCTTGGAAGTGCGGCGCTGAAGAACAGCATCAAAATTTTTGAAATGTATGAACATGTAAAAGAAAATATTTTTTTGTGGTTCTACTATTGGAGATGTTTAGAGCTGTGAGATTGAATACTAGAATCTATTGAAATAATCAACACAGAATAACACTTTCTTCGTGACATATTCTAAGCAATGTGTTTTTCTTGTTGAAAATATAATGTTGGCCAGCGCATTACATGAATCAGTATGTTATATGATAAATGTCCGAATGATTGTTGGTTGTAGATAAGTCAACTTTGAAATTTTTGATATCAGAAGTCTTGTAAGACTTTTTTTTTCCCATTTTGATACTATTAGTAACTACCTCTGGTTTCCCATCTTGTTCCTTTCTTGGGCAGCTTGAGATGATAATCTTTGTCTTTGTTTTTTCGTGATCTACTTGAACGCACTTGAATGAATAAGATAAACCAAGGTTAAAATTACCAATCTGATGCAAATGACCTGAAATATTATATCAATGAAGAAGAAGACTTTCAGCCATTACCTGATTAAGATAAAAAGTTCTCGGGATTATCTGACGAGAACTTTAATTGTAGCCAAACTAAATCTCAATCTCTATACTCCTGCATGGTGGCCAAAGACAGCTTCAGTATACATTATGCAAAAAACACTAGTTAAAATCATGCTCAAGATTTCTATCGCAATCGTAGAGTGCTATTTACTGAGGTTAAAGATGTTCCTGAAGGTTGATCTACATGTATACATGAAAGGATACTACTCATAAGGGCTATCCTCAGCGAAGAATAATACCTTATGACAATGATGTAGACCAAATAGATGTGGGTGAACAGAGACCTGTCTGTGTTGACCTGTGAACATCCGTGACACATCTAAACTTATGGGTTACTGAGATGAGATCCTACGTAGTATTGAGGTTTTCTATATACTGAAATCTGCAAGAATTACTAAAGTTCCACTAACTGTGTTTGGGAAAGATGACATGAGTTTACACTTTAAACTGATTACTCGAAAAATGTCCAGTTTGCGAGGATATGAGGAAAGATTGAGAATAACACATGGGTGATTTAAAGATGCCATTACATTACACACTAATCCAGTGGAATTGACGTGATTCGAAGACTTTAAGGTTTACGTCAGAGAAATATTGCAAAAATTAAGTAACAAACAAACTCAGTAAATGAGAAATATCAGTCTCCTCTATAACATTGACCCAGTTCTGACAGCGAGTTTGAAGCAGACGAGAAAATTCTAAAATCTGCGTGCACTACAAACTACAACAGTTGTAGTTTTGTAGAATAGTTCAAAACTACAACAGGATCAAAAGTCAGCTTGTCTCCAATCAGTCGTGCAGGGAACGTTTTTTCATTGAACTGAGGTAACCTCTAAGGGGAGAAAGTGATGGCGTGATGGCCACAAAATGCAATCAAAAGGATTCTTGATCCAAAACCGGCTACAATTTTCTGACCAGAACAGCCCGCCCTGCATACAAGGTTTATCAAAACATCTCAAGTAGAGGCATGCGCCTGTACATCATAGCTTCTATAAAGATCACTCCTTTACCTTTGTAATCGAAAATAGAAGACAATAGATGAGTCCTTTCGGAGTACAATACTTGGAATGATGTACAACGACACCGTTCATCTGGCATTGTGGGACAACTCGGTGATACCAATACTCTTCAGACATTTAAATTAAGACTCCAAAGTACTGCAAAAGTGTAGCCAGACTGGCTTGAAGTCCGATTCTCTCAGCACGTCTGCCTGATCTGGAGAAGGCAGGTAACACACCACTCAGGCACATTGCCGTCTAGTTGATGATTGCACTCGGCAGATCAGGTTTTCACAAGATTGTAGTAACCAAAGTCTGTAGCAAGCGGATCCAATTTTCGCACCAGTTGCCACTCATCATAGTTAAGGAAGCAAAACTACTGACTATTCCACATTCACTAGATTTGTAGCACCTCCGTTCAAGATCTGTAGATCAGCACAATTGTCTGAGAGAAGATTGTGCAACTTCCAAGTACATGATGTTCATACTGACAGCCTTGAAAGTTTGCGATCAGATATTACGGTAGCTGAGATCTATCTAAACATGTGTATTGACCACACCCATCGGTCAGCTCATTGTTGCGAGAGCCATGAGAGGCTTCCCTTGACATCTCATTAATCCATACCTGAAAGAAAGAAACACATGGCTCCTCAATCAGCACAATCCACGATTCAACCGGATCAAGCCTCCAAATCCTCCTCGCAACCCACAGGAAGAAAAGTTGTCTCTACGGTACTTAATTCAGGAATTGAAGAACTCAAGTCGATTGGAGACTCACGACGGCTGCTCTATTGCTTGAAGCTTTAGTTTCACATAACGCAGTGTGGACCCTCATTCGTTATTGTCGATCTTTACGAGACTGGTGAAGTTCATGAATCTCCTTGAAGCTCTTGATGTCCCCATGCATAATCACACCTTGATCGGAAAGACATTGTTTGAGGCCGCTGGAAAACGATTCAGTGCAGAGTTGAGAATTGGCACGAGAACGTCTGACGGTAAGCCAAACTGAAACGGCCTGAAGAGCACGAAGTGAGGTTGAGCATGATGCAAGAGACTGTCGTTCAAAGGGAAAAGGGGCGTTTCCTTTATTTGGCAGAGTAAAGAGAGTCCTCTGTGATCACAATGGGCAGTGATGCATTTCATCACAAGATCTTATGAGCAGTTCAGTCCAATTCTACAACTTGATCTGGCTAACAAAAATGACGATAATGTACAGAGCCCTGACGATGACTGCAAAGGGCGGGAGCTCAAATTCTAGGACTTGAGATCCTCAGGCATTGTGTCCGGAGTGAAATATTCACCGATCTCCGACACGCTACAGAACCTGACGAGCTGGGCGTATGAGCCCAGCAGAGGCTTGAATGTGTTCCAGCCAGCTGAAAAGATGAACGGGGCATCGATGAAGAGCACTTCTCCGAGCCTCTTCGGGTAGTATTCATAGAACACATCCACCAAAAACCTCACAAATTTCCAGTCCGCATTCTTCGATGTGAAGCCTCGAAGGTCGAAGATTCCCAGCAGCTTGTCTTCGCCTTCGGGAAGCTGATCGACGCCCCTCTCGATCAGTGCGACGCAAAGTTTCTCAGTTTCGAATTTGGAGTTCTGCGCAGGGAAGTGCTTCTTCGCCACCACAACGATCGTGGGCCTTCCTTTCTTGTCCTTGTGCGTGTGCAGATACGCTTCTCCCTTGGCCGCAGCCGCGGCTATGAAATCTTCAGTAATCTGATCCACTCCGAATTCTTTTCGCCACTGTAGAGCTCTTGTCAATTTTGCCACAGTGGCCTCGACGTCCAGCTTGCGATCTTTGAGAAACCATGAAATCAAAGCGGGATCGTCTCTGCCATTCTTCCCCACCCTCAGATCGCCCTGCTCTTTCTCCAGGCGATTTCTCACCTCATCCACCAGCTGTTCGGTCACCTGGTACACTCTGGGTTGCGCTGAGCTCGCCACGACAGTGAACTGCGAGCGAGAAGTCTTCGCTCCGCGTTTCGATTCGCACCTGCGCGCAGATTCCAGGGACGTCCTTCTCAGCAGACACTTGCTCGGAATCGTTATCGATCCCGAAGGCCGGCATTGCACCGCGCGCTCCACACCGCTCGTGCCAAACGACGAGCAGGGCACAGAAATTGCAGCAGCAGCAGCAGCCATGGCCAGTCCCACTCAGCGCTCTCCGGACCCAAATCCACCTCCGTAATTCGAATTCTCTTATCGCCGCATCCGAGGACTCGCAGTACACATCGAACGAGGAATGCGACGGAATAGTCCTCCGGGCCTCCGGCTGTAAAACCCGTCCTTTTTACCGTATTCGTTCCGGCGACGAACCTTCTCCACTTCTGTCGCCACTCGTCGAGCTTGTATTGTATCGACAAATGTGTCCATGTTTCTCGCTACAGCCTCGTGCCGCGTCCGAATCCGTCTCAGAGCGGTCTGCTTGTCCTCGATCTCTGGCTATGGACTCTGCAGAAAACCGAAATCCCGGACGTCATACCTCCGAGCTCAAGACGAATTCGTGAACGGACGCATCACGTTCTCGGTGCGTTCGTATTGCTCGTATCACGGTGCTTCGATATTCGATACGAATACTTCTACGATCACATTTAACTTTCTACGGTTAGATTCGGCCCTGATAAATATATCATTCAGGTATTTCGCGGCTATCAGATATCTTGCAGATTCTCGAGTCTCCACTTTGCATATTTCATATTTGAGGACCTTTCTGTCTGTCCGGCTCAGAGTACGGGAGGTCCGAATTTCGTCGTTTGGTTCTCCTGTCGCATTTTCTGAAAAGACTTGAATCCAACCGGCCGAGACTGCATGTCCTCAGACTGCAAAGTGGTGCTGAGGAAAATGTGTATTGTGTGTTGGGGAACCAAGATGCTCGAGCCTGACAATGGCTGGTGACAATGACAACTCGCGCAAAAGGATGCTGGACGTCGTCATTTTCCCTTTTGGTCCGATTGATCATTTCATGCACGCAGATGCTCCACGAAACTTGGACGAGCAGATGTGGAACCTACACAACACACAGGCTGATACAAACACCATGCTTCTCGACTCATTGGGTTGGACTCATATTTTTATCATTCCACGGTCGGATACTATTCCTATCAAAAGCTTATATCCGACATAAGTAGAATCTTGGCAGTTGCTCGAAACTTTAGTGGGAAAGGGACATGTAGTATAAAAGTAAAATCACAAGAAATTTGATAACTTCGGAGATTGAATATACAAATTCTAACATATTTTCTGGCTGGATTTCTAAAGTATCTATGTCAAAATGATTTATATCATTTAGAAAATACGCATTGTACCCAATACTTTTTCTGCCCGTGCACCGATAGGCTCGTCTTTTCAAACCGCAAAGAAACAAGCCAATACCATATATGTTAAGAACCTTCAGGCCAACACCCATCCGGTTCCATCTACACAGGCAGCCAGGAGAAGATAACCCCGGCCTGATCAACCATCCGGCTCTTGGATTAGGGAGATAACTCACTAACTATGCCTCGGTATGAAAAAATTCCTCGCTGTATACCGTACTAACCTTAACCCCTTCGTAGAAATAGCCCGTAGGTTCCATCCACAAACTATGTAATTCTGTCTTTTGAGAAGTAAAATACATGCTCTAGAAGAAGGCTACGATCTCATTCATGAAAGGAGATAAAGTCTTTAGTCCTTGTTGAGACATTCGAGGCTTTTGGCATTGACAAACCTTTTATTGAGCTTGTCTCTGGTGGGGTGCAGATTACAACGGACCACGCAGAGACTCGGGCACAAATATTCTCTACTTTGTGTGCACCTCGAATCAGTGTCTATAAACCATCTTCATTTGGTGTTCTCTTTTCCTTCATCACTTCAGTTGGTGGAGTCACCTTGGTATGAAACTGGCAAGGACCGGCCCTGGAGCAGATATCTGATGCCCAAGCCCCAACCAAAAAATTGCGATAAGAGCTTGTTACAATTTTTTTGTAGCAAGCTTTATTCATGGGAGTCAAAGGGGTTCTAGTAGTGACAATTGTGGGGTTTTCATATTCATCTTTGCACAACACTTCAAAATAATAAGTCGACAACATGGCTTTGCTCCTGTCAAGCAATTCATCTCCTAATGCTGAAACTTTTTTCTCAATGATGTCTCTTTACATCTACTTATTAGATTCCGAACTGAAATTTTTCTCGGAGTTTTTTTCTAATCTCCCTAACGTTAATCACTTTGCTCCTCATTATAACTCACACCAAGCACACTCCAGCGTACCAATAAACACATATCCCCTTCTCTCCTCCACCTCAGCAAAAAATTTTCTGCAAAAATTCAATATTTCAAAACTTTACAAATGGTACAGCTGCTCTTCTCCTTGGTGATCTACCCTCTCATCTTTCTTGCGACTGGGACACTAACTTCTCTTCAAGATTTTTCTGATTGATTGATCTGCATGTAGAGAGGAGGGGGAAGAGAATATTGTGATTTTGTAGATATGGAGATGCTTGGCAAAATTCCAACGCGTCAATGACAGATATCTAGTTAGTTTGATACAATATTTTGTTTTATAGAATAACATCATGTTTGATGTATATTGGGACATATTGGGATGCAGATTTCTTTTTCATAGTAATTGAGTTGAGAAGCCATTGATACTTTCTATCATCAATTACAAAAAGATTTGAAATCAAATCATCTAAGTTATATGTTATATATGAATTTCAAATATGAACTCACTTGCTCTATTTTAATTCAACACATATGTAAAAATTAATATATTATATTGATAGAAAAGTATGTGGGAAAATATTTTTGTGAAAAATTGTGTTGAAGTGTCTTGAACAATATACAAAAATTTTATAGTATTACGTCTATTTCTTGTGATTTTTTTTTTAAATTTGATTGTCATCATACTTATCTTTTATAAAAGTGAATGAGATAAAAGCATCTGAAATCTTTCACTTGACATATGTGAAGTCCTAAATGCTATCATAGTTGAGATAAACAAGTTGAAAAATGTGATAGTAGAGATATATTCAAAGCAATAAGACACTTAAAATAAATTTTTTGAATTAAAAAAGGAATAAATGAAGATAAGAAAAGCTAGAGAGATGAAGGTCAAAAGTTCGATATTAGATATCCAAATTCAACCAAAATTAAATCATATTAACACAACAAAGTCAAATAGAAGACTACTTCAAGAGATTTTTTAATATGAATAAAAAAGCCATATAACGTACAAAGAAAGAAAAAAAAGTGGAACAATGGGAGTTTTAGAAAATGGAATTATGACGATGAATATATACATTTATTTCATTTTCATGTTTTTGATTTTATTGTAATATTTTTCGTGAGTTTTTATTTCATAGATAAAACACTCACATGGTTTATTACATGGGAACAAATGATGTCAAAATGAGGTGTTTCAATAAATGGGTTGAAATGGAGTAGATAACTCTGCAAAATTTTCAAGTTGTTTATTTATTTAGAATAGCAAAAATAGATTTGTGAATTTTGAAGCATAAAAGAATTTATCTACATCTATATTGAAGAATTTTGTAATCTTCAAATATTCATTATGTGTTTGAATGTAGTAGAAGCTTTAGATGTGTTCAAGCAAGGTTTGAAAGATATATACGCAAAAAAATTTTAATGAACTATACATCCATAATGAATGAAGCAATCATAACTGATCAACAAATTTTGTACGATTATGGAATCACACGATAAATCATCAAACAATGTTCAAGATTCAATTGGTTGTACATCAATAAAGTTAAAAAAACTTTGAAGTAGAGAAGTTTATTTACAAATATTTGAAGATGAAATTAGGAAATCATGGATTTTAATTTGCAAGAAGAGTTTGAAGATAAAAACTATATGAAGCAAACAAAAATTCATGATAATTGTTAATATTATGCACACAGAAGGATGAATCATATTGCAAAATTTTGCCAAACTCAACTAAGAGAACGTCAAATACATTGACAACCTTTCAATAACATGGAAAATACAGAGTTTAAAGAAGCTAATGAAATGATTTTGGTAAGCAAAAATCATCAATGAAGTTGCTTTTTGATCTGATTAGTTTTACGAAATGAAGAAAAGTTGAAGTTGGAATAATAAAATGGTTGAAAGTTTATATACGAAGTAAGAAAAAAATTTCTTCTTATTTATGACATGATGAAAGTACACAAGATGAAAGTTATGAATAATTGTGGAGAAAAATAATAATTTTGTCATGAAATGTTGCAATGAAATTGGATTGTGAAGGATGTGAGTGAAGAAATGAAATTAACAAATGCTCAAACTAAATCAATAAACATTCTATCACAAAATTATCTATCAAATACAAGTAATAGATTGATTTGATAATAAACTGTCTAGTTCAATATAATATTAGCCTATGAATTTCATGGATGAAGCAATATAATATGGAGTTAGATTGGGAAAAAAAATTTAAAAGTAAATTTTGGTTAATCTATGGAGACAGACTTCCAGTCAAAACTTCATAAGATCGATATTATGAAATAATAAAGATATGTCAAGATATTGTTAATTTAACAATGACATGTTTAGAAGTGAAAATGCTATAGAACTTAGTTTGAATAGATGTAAAAAATTTGTAAAATTTCATCTCGACCTCAATCTCATCTAATGCATGCATATTGCAAATGTTCTCTTTATGTAACTTCTCCATATACCTTAATGCTTACACTGCAATTATAATTTTAACATACTACTCTTACTTCAATTAATTGAAAATATCATCATCAACCTTGTCATCCACAGTGTAATGATCAACCACAGTAGCAAACATGTCTTTTGTTCTTGTCATTGGTTGCTTCATCATTTGGATTTAAATTCTCATCAAGCGTGAGAACTTTAGTCATGGAAAGTTGCGTAGTGTGTGTAGTTTTGCTCTTTCTTTTGCTTTTGTAGTGTCAAGTTTTATCTCTTCAATGTATGTAATTTCTGTAATGAAGATATCAAAATTATTGAGATAAAAAAATTGAACCCGTGAATCACTAAGGATATCACTACGATCAATGTATCCTTATTTTGCAACCTACATTTTACGTAATATCAAGAAATATGTTTATCTACAAGGTTATTCTTATAAGTAGTATCTTTACATCAAGTTTTGAATGTATATTTCAAAATAAAAATTTATCACACTTTGTGATGTATAAAACATACTTTTTAGATATGATGTATTTTTAGACTTTAAAAAAGAATTGAAAATTTGATAAATCTTTTCAAAGGATAAAAGTTTTGATCAGA